CCTTCCCCTTCCCCTTTTCCCTTTCCCTTTCCCCCTTCCCCTTCCCCTTCCCCTTCCCCTTTCCGCTCCGCTCCGCTCCGCTCCGCTCCGCCACATACATGTGAAGAGAGGGTCCGAACAGGAACAGAAACGAGGATTTGGGAGGATATGATCAAGGACGGCAACTTAAGCAGCCGTGATCAGATTTTGCAGAGGAGACAGTCACACCCCCTTTGCACCTTTTCGCCAACTTCTCCTCGCCGCGCCACGCCCCTCGACATGATCAAGAGGGATATCAAACAACAACGTCGGCAACTCGGTCATGGTGAAAGGCCCTGTTGTCGTACCCCATGGACCCGTGGCAAAGGTTATGTTTTCACACCTGTGCTGTCTTGGAGTATATTTGAACGGTTGGTATGATGATCATGATGGGATGGATGATGGATGATGGATGATGGATGATGGATGATGGATGATGGATGATGATCATGATCATGATTGGATGTATGTATGAGTGTGATGACAGGTTTAGAAAGGGGGCCACTCTTTTCCTACTCCTCGTGTGGTTCGCATGAAGGGATCAAGGAAATGATTTTAATGAGGATCTTTTTTTTTTGTTGTTGTTGTTGTTCAATTTTGGAACAGCTGCACAAATTCAAAGCATGCTTTTCTGGTTGAACCTTGGTGTTTACTTTGCTGTGATGTCTTGCGTTCGATATGCTTTGATGTCACACTCGTGATATCTCTTGCGTATGTTTCTCCTGCCCGTGTTTCTCTTGCTTGCTACTAGTGCTTCCCGTACACCTGTGCTTCGCGTGTTGCTTATCCTCCTGTGGCTGCTGCTGCCGACGTGTGATCTGGCGTGATTAGCTCAACTCCCCGTGGGTCCTGAGATCGATCGAGTGCACCTCCAACAAGGTCTGCTCAAGTCAACTCCCTCAGTCAACTCCCCGGAGACGAGCAAATGCCTCGAGCTTGAGTATCAAGATTTATGGAAAGTGCATTCCTATGTGCTTAACCGTGTATATACATGGCAACTTTTGCTCCACCCCTTTTGACTTCTAACCCAAAAGTACTGGCTCCACCAGCCCCTCTTTAGCAGATCTGCTGTCGGGCGTTGCCACTGATGGAGAAGTTTGTGTTCTCGCCACATGGCGACTCACGAACAGAGTTGTTGTTCACCTGCAGGGTGATCCAGATGTCCTTGTTGTTGGGGAACTCTGAGCGGGCAGACAGGCGGACCTCTCCACCGCCGTTGACGGTGCCGCTGCGGATCGAGACGTTGTAGCAGTTCTCGATGAGAATGGCGTTGTTCCCGTTGTTGGACAAGTCGACGTTCTGGATAACCACACCACCAGAGCGAGAGACGCAGAAGATACCGCGACCACCACCGCGGGAGATGACCTTGTCGATGTACACGTTGGTGTTGTAGTTCCCATTGGCGTTCTTGCCGTTCTCGTTGGCCATACGGAAGGTGGCATACCCAGTGCCGGTGGCGACGTTGTTGCCATCGACGAGACCGACCCAAGCGTTTCTGGTGTTTTGCAGCAGCAGACCGGACTCGCCCACATCGCGCGCAATGACAGAGTTGATCTTCAGGCCGTCAATGTTCCAGGTCTCGACAGCATGGCTTCCAGCTCCGGTGACGGTGATGGTGTCCATCTCGACGTTGTAGTTCATGGCGGCGTCGCGGTCGAAACGGATGGCGAGACCACCGCTGAGGTTGAAGTTGAGCTTGCCGAGCTTGAGGTTGCGGGTGCCGGAGACACGGAGGCCAAAGTAAGGGTTGCCCGTCATGGTGAGGAAAGGAATCTGGACATCGTTTACGTTTTGGATCTCAATGGCGCCTCGGCCGGCGCGGTTGCCCACGTTGATGGCACCGCAACCCTCAAAGATCTTGCCCGAGGCGAGGGTGATGGTGCCGGCGCCGATGGATCCTGAGGCGAGAACGGCAACACGCTGCCCGCTGGAGATTCCATCGAGACCGGCCTGGATGGCAGCTCTGTAGTCGGAACCAGAGTAGAGTTGAGTGGAGCCTCTGGTTGTCCTGAAAGAATTGCCTGAGCCGGACACGGTGGCATGGGGGCTGCCTGCACCGCACTGGGCCTGGACACCCGAGGCAAGGGCGAGCACGGCGGTCAGGAAAAGGCTGCTGAGTTGCGTCATGGTTGATATGAGACTGCTTGCCGGGAAGGGAATCCTGGGGGAGTACTACCGACTAGAGATGTGGTAAGTAGCTGACTTCATATATTTCCCTACCTCAGCCCCCCAAGGCGCCTCCGCTACCTCGAGCGAAAGGTGTCACTAATATGTTCGCCAAAGCGGAGGCAATTATTCCGCGGCGACATCGTTGGCGGAAATCAAAGATCCCAGCACGGGTTTATTAACAATAACGGCCTGTAAATAAGTGTTTCACGTCTCCGCATGCAACCCAAGAACCCGGGACAACCCAATTCTCGGAAAAGCCCACTGGAGCCGTCTTGGCCTCGGCGAGAGATGGCCGTACCGGTTTCGATCAGCGCTCCGTGTTCTCGGCGTCGGTGAGCGGGAATGCTGGGTAGGTAGTTGGAAGCTATGCTCATGATGGATGGCCAAGGACTCCGTTTGCTGCGTGGCGCTCTGTGCGAACTCCATGGTAGCTGCAGTGCTCTCGTCAGACGAAAGGGAGTAGAGACAAACAGCTGATAGTAGTCTTGAGAATTCTTTGCCATGTAGTCGGGTGATTTGTCTCGGGTTGGAGAAGTTAAATAGACACAGAATGGAACGGCCCGGCAATTAGTGCGGGTCTGGGGCACTTGCCCCTGCAGCTGCTTGGAGCCGATAAGCGACAGGAGTAGTCTGGCCTACTACCTACGTAAAGCCTTGTGGGCTCTGCCTGTTTGGCCTGCTGTAAGTAAGGTAGTACTTGAAAAGAATTATGAGCTGTACAATTGTGGATGAAGAGCTAACGCACGGGGCGCGGGATGCCCCTGGTCAATCATTACTGACCAATTGGAAGTGAAGCGACGAGCTCATGGTGATCCCGGTGAGCGAGCGACAGGATCACGATGAGCATAGTGAGCTACAGGAAGGAAAGGTGATCCAGGTGATCCACGGGTCTATATATCCCTTTCAGAGGTTCTGGATCAGAGTTCGTTACATGAGCGTAAACGTAAGTAAAACCTGCTACTGAGTTGAAGGATTTAGCTTAGTAAAGAAAAGAGATATTTCTCTTTTAAGCTACTTTAGGCTAAGGCGCTAAGCACGCACAGGCCACTTAAGCCTAGGTACAAAACAGTGCCTAAAGCCTAACCAAAACTTCTTTTTTCCGTTTGAAGCCCTATCTCGGACAGAAGACGACTCCTGCATCCTTTAAACCTCATTTCAGGCGACCAATAAGCCCTCAACCCTCAGCTGACCCAATTCTTACCTACCTGGTACCTACTTACGCTTTCCAGCCTGATGCTGTTTTCAGGCTTTAATTGCTACAGTTGCGACGCAAACGCCCATTCAGGATCTGCGCGGTGGCCTACCGCAGCTTTATCAGCTCTCGAATCTCCGTCGACGTAGCTAGCAGCAAGGCGGAGTTCCTTCCACGGTGTGTAGGCGGGCATTGCCTTGGTAAGGCGGCCTGGAAAAGAGCCCTCGAATACTATGACAGCTCAAATGCCGCGGACATTTCAGGACCTTGCTGCGAATGGCTCAATAGAAAGCTGGATTTTCGGAGGTCGCGACAAGAGTGCGTCCACGGGTACGACCGCCCCCGCCAAGGAAAACCCCACCCTGCCGCCGCCCGCCAACTCGGGCTCGGAGCCTTCCCCAATCATCAGTGACATTTTGCCCCCCCGAACCGCAACCCATAGCCCGGCAGTCCAATTTGCCCCAACTGCACAGGGAGATGCCGGCCTCAAAGGTACAAAGTATACTACCGATGCTGAAAGGAGAAAAGCCATCTCTGAAGCTTTGAAACGACGACGCACTTCGGGAGCCAATGACCAAAGCCATGGCCAGCACAAAAAGTTGCAAACGGGCAACTTTCAACCCACAGTTATATCACCCGTCCCTCTGCCGACCTATGTCTCTGCTCAAGATCAGTCCCGTCCCACTGTCTCTGCACCAGCACCAGCATCATCGTCGTCTACTTCGGAGACTTCTGATGTCGAGATGATGGACCAGTTGGACCCTGTTTTCCCACCAGAAAACATCCCGGACGACAGTAACGATGGTGACTGGGAAGAGGGGTCGCAAGTAGGTGAGGTCTCTATCGTCACAAACCCCGTAAACAGCCAGGTTCAGGCCGAGGCCGCCGAAGTAGCAAAGGTCGAACCGCACGCCCTAGACCTCACTCCATCCGGACGACCCTACTTGCGTTGGAATAATGAGTCTATGTACGGTACCACTATACCAGATGGATATGAGTGGTCCTCGGCTCGTCCTGGCTTTCCCTGGTAGGTTTCGGAATTTCTACTTCTGAAGTCGTATGTACTAATGTTTTAGGATCTGCCCTGTTCGATCGTGTCGGAAGCTTTTTCCTGCCATAAAGCAGCTAGGTGGACATTTCGTCGTATGCCCTGCCTTCAATTGTATTTTTTCCACCCATGATTGCTCACACTCTGCCACAGCGTCAACATCGAGGTTCCCTATTGCACGACAATATGGACGGAACTCTCTCGGTACGAGGACATTATGCCAAACTCCGGGATGGTGAAGGTCAAGCTTCGGGTGCCAAACCGAAACCGGGCATTGTGGTCTCGGTAGGAGCTTTGGACCCGTCTGAACCTCCAATGGTCGCTCCCTCGCTACCGGAACAAGGACACGGACGATACGATGTCGACAACAGCCAGCCTCCATCGGGAGCTGGAAGCGAATATAGTGGTGCCCAGAGTCCTATGACCAGTCTTGCCAAAGTAAGCTCAGCAGCTCATTTTAATTCTCCTACCCCCTGGCGACCCCAAAGCCCTCTGGAAAGCCCTCCAGCCTTACCTTAGGCACTTCAAAGGTCGGGAGCCTCCTGGCAAGGGGCATGCCAGGACCTTGCTTTCTCTTCCTCAACTACCAGATTTCGACTGGAACCACATGCGGATCAGGACCAACCCCTTCTCTGATACCAACCCGCGAGACATCACTGCCCTAATCCTGCAAGTGACAGGAGAGCCTGCCCCCAAGTCGTGTGGCCGAGGCGCAAGTGGCAACGGCCTATTTCAGTCATGCGTCATGATTTCACCTCGAGCTCCTGATGATATTGTTAGCAAGCTGATCAGGCTGTGCGAACTGCTTTTACCATCCTAACCAGACGTATTGCACTCTGAAGGACCGGGGAAGGGAGAGGGCAGGCAGGATACTTCGCAGCGGGCAAGGGGCCCAACAGGACTACCAGGATTCAGGATGGGACGATGCAGACATCAACACGTCGAATGTGTCGGGGCAAGCTGTCGGTTCGCTAACCGCAAACACCACCCAGACTTCTCCGACCGTTTCATCTTCTGACGGCTTCGAGTTTGCTTCACCGGGAAGAAGGTACACGGAATGGGATGGTACGTGTGCATTTGATGAATGTGTTGGAGACAAAACAAACTCACGAGTCGCAGATGACAACGGAGACCCTAGATCGCTATGCGGAGTCATGATTCCTGCTGGATATACTGAGCGTTCGGGACCGAGACCGTTCCCGTGTCCTATCAGAAGCTGCGAGACAAAGTGTATAAAGGTGAAGGATCTGGGTTTTCATTTCTCGGTACGTCTCCTGGCTGGTGAAGTCATTGTCTGCGAACCTTTCTGATGTCTTTCCTAGCGCTCCCATTATGCGAGTTATCTCAAAGACAACGGAGATGGGAGCTTTGATCTCGTTGGTGTATATGCCCCCAAGCGAGGCAACATTGGCCCAAGCGGCAAGATCCTTCACCCGCGCCCCTCGATTGTTGTCGCCAAAACGCGGCCCGATGGGTCGGTTGAGTGGGCGGCGAACTGGTGGGTCTTGCGGCATCATATGTTGTCTGCTACTGCTGCTGCCGATGTGCCCGTGGGCGATGAAGCACTGGCTAATCGGAGTTGGCCGCCAAAAAGCACCTGGGATCATTTGGAGGCGGAAGAGAAAACTAGTCAGGGGGCGGTGGCAGAAGAGAACGCCAGTCGGATGGCGGCGGAGCAGCAGAGGGCAGCGGAACGGCAGAGGGCAGCGGAACAGCAGAGCCCGGCGGAACCAATGGCCAATGTGATGGCAGGAAGGCCACTTAGAAGAATACCGGGAACCAACCGGGTTCATATGAATGTTTGGCTCCCGGGGGTTAAGACGCCCGGGGCTATGAGGAAGGAACAACAACAACAATATCGTATGCACACACTGAGATGGTCGGATGTGCATCAAAGGCCCGTGCCACCGCGTCCAAAGTCTCCACAAGCTGCGCAGGCTACAGCCCAGGCTCAGCAGGTTGTTCCACAGGCCCCTCAGGTCTCGCAAGCTGAACGGCCGGCGGATATTGCGCGCGACGCTGCCGTGGAGGGGGTTGAGGAAGAACATGAGGGTGTTTCCACTCGGTACAAGCTGAGGGCGCGGACTTCTGAGTCGGGACTTTTCCACCCACAGGCGCCGCCCCCAGCTCCACCAGAAACTGATGAGTCTATCCCAGAAGAACCAGCCCCACCACCACCCATCGTAAAACACCAGCGGCGGCAACCCAAAAGCCGCATTTTGGAAGGTATACCATCATCCAACGGTGTCCAAACCACGGGCTTCGTCATCGCGGAGCAAGTTTTGGAAATGGAAGACTGGGAGGTTGCGCCGGGGCGGATCAGGGAGATGGACCCCAAATCCGAGAGCATTGCCTTTTCCAAGTCTTTTCTTTCGAGCACGCATGCTGTGGAGGTGTGCGAGGATGTGGCTTTCCGGGTGGATGTTATCAGGAGCGGTCAGACTTTCAAGATCGAGGGGGAGGAGAACCAGATCAGGCTGGTGTCGCTTGCTTCGGGGAAGTTGAGGGTCAAGATTGGGGAGGAGCCTGAGTTTGTGATGGGGCCGCATGGGATGTTCAAGGTCAAGGCGGGGGCGAGGTGTACGGTGAGGAACAGGATGTATGTGGAGGCTATTATTCATACGACGGTTTTGAATGGGTTTTCTTGAAGGGTTTTGGGGCTAGTGGTTGAGGGGAACATATTTTTGCATGTGAGTATTTGGTTCCAGTAGATAATCATGGAGCGTTGGATAAATGGCTGTGGTTTTGTCGTGGTGCATGTTGAAGCGTTTGCCTGGTGGAGTTTGTATGCATTGCATGACTGAATTAAATAGCTATAGACATGATGATGAGCATTGGTTTGGTTTCTGGCAGGAAACAATATAAGGAAACAAAGACTCCACACGTTGTGTTTCTATTGCAGTATTCAAAGACCACTTGCCAAATGCCGCAGGGAATGCTCCGGAAGATTGTAATTTCGCGGTGGCGTTTATACGGATGGTTTTGTTTTGGGCAAGAAGGTGCGGAATGATACGGGCTGGGCAGTTTGTGCAAGTTCAGCGTGAGGACGTGGTCAACTACCTGCTGGTGCCATTCTCGAGTCCACGGTTGCCAAATTCAACACTCCATTACACACCTGAAGACGCAATAACAAAAATCAAAACAGCTACTCAAATTGGTATCATATTTCCTCCCTCCCTTCCTATCCCCCAAGTCCCTCCCCTCCCCCCCCCCCAAGCTCTACCATTGTCCCATTCATTGCCCAATTCCAAATCCTTCACTCTCAAATACCCCTCTTCCCCTCCCCCTTCCTCGCCCTCCGATCCCCCAAATCACCAGGGTACCTCACCACAACATAAAAAGCATGAATCATGCCCGGCAACCACGCCAAGATCGTGAGCAGGATGTTGATAAAAAAATGCGGGTCACATCCCCTCGTCAAGAAGACCGCCACCGGGGGGAGGAAGATGGCCATGATGAGGAGGATGACGTCACTTCCTGTGAAACTTGATGAACTCGTCCTGGTGGTAGCTGGGGGTACGGCGGTGGATGCCATCGAGTCGCGGTTTGTGTGGTCCATACCCACGGGGTGGGTTGTTGGTGTTGCTCCTGCGCCTACGCCTGCGGAAGACGAGGCAGGAGGGGCGGCGTAGTAGTCGTTGGTGTGGGGTTTGGTGTTGTCGGTGTACGCAGGTTGTTGCATAGGGTTGGCAGAGGAGGAGGTGCCGCCAGTGATGCCCGTGTCCATTCCCATTCCCCCGCTGTTGTAGTTGTAGTTGTAGGCCGGTGATTTCTCCATCTTGCAGCTGGTCGTGGTCTCTCTTGTTGCGTAGTAGGTAGGTATGTTGTAGGTATGTAATCAAACTGTGTTGTTGCTTGTGGTAGGTATCAAACTTGCTCGACTCGTGATAGTTCTGTAGGTGACAAGGTGATGCTTGATTCAAAAAGTCTGTCGCTAAGAACAAATCAAACCCGCACCAAAAAAAGACCCTTATATTCCCCCCCACGGTCCCACCATCCCTCAATGACGTTTCAATCCGGCCTGATCGATCGACACAAACGGTAGCCTTTGCGTGTAAGTCAGGCAAACCTACGTCATAGTTCGTTCTGCCCAGAACACACCCGACCAGCACCCGCTGACCCTCGCTCCAACCACTCGCCACCCACCAACCACCGCCACACCAAAACCTTTAGCCTACTTCCCGTGTTAACCGTGCCACAAAATATGCTCAACAAATGCCCAGCCAAATTCCCATTGTTTAGCACGCGCGGCATTATAACCACATCCCCCTCATCAAAGCCACACATACGTATGCCTAGAATAGTAAACAAGATGCCAAGTACATTCATTCTCTTTATGACCCATCCCTCTCAATCGCTCATAGTAACAAAACGCCAACCTCTACTCTACAGTCATGCATGGTGATATGTACACTAAAAAAAAAAACACGAGGCCCGTGTATCATGACACAACACAACCCGAACCACCGCTTCCAGCCAATGTAGCCCAAAAACAACGCTCATTATTGTCATCATAAACGTACATCAAGCCTTCTTCTCCTCGCTCTCCTCCTTCTCCTCAGCCTCCTTGGCCTTTCCCTCGCGGTACTTGGCCATCTTCTCCATCAGATACCGCCACGTCCTCGTCCAGCCGCTGGTGAGGGGTCCCTTCAAGGATTGTGTCGTGGCCGGCCAGCTGATAGTCTGCTTAATCACCTCCCGAATATAGCTGCGCAGCTCGGTGGGGTCGTCCTGCACAATACGCCTCTCAAACCCGCCGCCCTCGCGACGCTTGAACGAGATCGAGTCCTCATTCTTACTTTCCTCCATCATCTTGTTGAACTCTAGCTGCGGGATGGCGAATTTCCTCTGGTACTGAAAGTAGAGACGTGACCGGAATGACTTTGGCAGCCGGCGCACCATGTTGCCGCGTTTGACAGGGTCCATATCCTGAACGAGGTTGAGGTTGCTAGCCTCCCACACCCAGTCCTTGGCGCTGGTTCCCGGGTCGTTGAACTCGACATTGGGGAGCGTCTCGATAAGTGGGAGATACAGCCGTCTAAAGTTGGTCATGTTGTTGCCGACAATGTTCTTGACCTTGCTTGGGTTCTCCGTTGGCAGGGCCATTCGTGGGTCGCCGAGGTAGCTGATGCCGGCAATGGTGGCATAGAGCTCTTCTTCGGTGAACTTTGGCGGCAAAAGCAGCAGGGCCGTCCTCAAAGCAGAAAGCAGGTTGATCTGGTTGGCGAGACGAATCTTGGGGTCATCGCGCAGAATCTTCACCGGCTTGTGCAACCGACCGGCCAGATACAGTGTGTCCCAGTTGGTCAGGTCTTCCTCCAGTGTCTTTAGCAGCACCACTCCGTACTTGATCAAAATCCCGTTGACAACAACATATGGGTTAAAGTAGACACCAGCACCCATTCTGTCCTGCACATAAGATACGGCCCCCGACCCGAGCGTGGCAAGGCCCGAGTAATGATCGCGGTGTTGTTTCATATTGAGAGAGTGCCAGTGTTGCGTGTGGGAAACGCCAAAGATAAAGTCAATCATTTTCGGTGTGCCATCTTGATGTCTTGCTACCGCTGGTGGGCATTTTGGATGTATAGCCTTTACTTCTTCGGGGGTTGCCGTTTTGCCGTTGGATTTCGACTGTGGAAATACTCCGGATCCATAAGCAAATGCATAACGGATTGGCGCCCGGAACGCCCAAGGGATAGCCTTCAAGACTTCCTTGAACTCGGCGTCGAACGGTATGTGTTGGTTGACGCCAAAGTTGGCGTGGGGTAGGTCGGAAAAGGATTCGATCTTAAAGTTTGGGTTCGTCTCCCAGTCCTTGAGGTCGCTGACAACCGAAGACTCCGAGTCGGATCTGCTCGAGGCCTCGTCTGCGATGGCCTGGGCAGACTTGGTGTCGGACCTTGATGTGTCGGTGGCCTGGTCGGCGGCAGCATCGTGTTGGGCGCCCTCCCTTGTCTCCTTGTCCAGCTCATTCTTATCCTCAACGTTCGTTCCGTATCGTCGCGCAGTTCCAAAGGGAAGTGGTCTGGTCGTGGTGGGCCAGGGGCGCAGTGGGAGGCGACCCTAGATAGAAAGCTTTTGGTGAGCTATGACGTTGGCCAACCACTGGAGGGGACGGGGACTCACCCTCAGCAGAAACGGGAGGCGGTTGGAGGTGGGAGCAGCCATTGGGATTTGGATTTCAGAGTAAAAAAAAATTTAAAAAAAAGATTGAATATTCCTGGAATGTTGTTTTTCTTAAAAAAAAGAGCAGCGGATGCCGCGGGAAGTATCACCTGGTGTCCGTATCCAAAGCCATGGATGTTGTGGAATCCAGGGAAAGTTGAAGCTGGGAGCTCCAGGACGATAAAGACCCTGGGCGGGCCATAGCTCGGGCACGGGCCTCCCGGTTCCGCGTCATTGGCAGGGGCACATGCGCTTTCTTTGTTCTCCCCACAGATCGAAGCCTTGGCGGGCATTCCATCGACATGCCAAGCTTTACTTTACTGAGCTGATATCACGAAAGCATCTCTGGTGTTGCTTGTCTTGGTAGAGGAGGAGGAGGGAATTTCACCTGGACAGGGCTCTCAGCATTCAGTATACATACCGACATCTGGCCGTAACAGGCGGAGCGGTGACTGCTGAATGCCGAAGCTGGACGTACACAACCACGGCGGCCAGACTGACAAGAGCTCTCGTCTTCAGGACATTCATTGAATGAGAGAGAGAGAGAGAGAGAGAGAGAGAGCCTCCATTCTATCGCACTCCTATGTCAGGACATCGGTAGTCTACGGCTTGAAATACTGGGAGACATGCTACAGCAGCGGACAGCGGAGCAAAGCAAACAGCAAAGTACTTTAGACACAGCATTTACCGCTCCTGCCCCGAGAGTGCTGGGCTCTCCCATAAAGGCCTCGGCCAACAAACCCGACCAATCCATCAAAATTTTAACCTTTCTTCCAAATCCTACTCTGTAGGTACCCTCAACATCTCAACCGCGACAGCTTCTTCTCCAGAAGCCACCATCACATCCGAAATCCCAGCCGAGCCCTCTTTGTTGACAAGCCCCGCTTTATTTTGCCAGCAGCCAATCACCCCCCCCCACAGCAACCCTTTCCAAACAATCGCTCTCCAAAATGCCCGAACCCCCAGAACTAAACACACCCAAACCGCGACCGGTGAACAACAGCAAAACATCCCAACTAATGCGGTCCTTCACCCCCAAAGGCGAGCCGCCCGGGTCGGCCCGGCGTCCCTCCGTCTCCAGCAACGGCGCCCCCAGCTTCCGCGCCACCGTTGCCGGCGGCGCCTCAAGACCGACGCTCTCTTCCCAATCCAGAGTAAGTTTTCGCGACGCCCGACGCGCGCCGGAAGCAATCAGGCTGACAAAAAGAAAACAAAAAAGATCGCCGCCTTTCGCAACAGCACAACCTCCCACAACCTCCTCACGGGCGAACCAACAAACGCCCCCAACCCCCGAGCCAGCACCATGTCACGGCTCAGCGGACCGTCCCCCGCAACGAGCAGAGAAAGTCGCGAAAGCAGCAAAGAGAACCACGAACCTTGCGAGAGCGACGAACAGCGAAAACTAATCGAGGACCTCAAAGCCGAGGTCGGCACGCTAAAATACCAAATCAGCAACTACGAGCAAGAAAAGGAGCTGGCGCGTCTGCAGATGGAGAATGAAATTCGAGACACCAAGCGACGGGCGGAAGACGACTTCAAGGCGAAGCAAGCCGCCGAGGCGGAAAAGGGACGCGCCCAGCGGCAGGTTGAGGTGTTGCAGGCGGAACTTGACGAGCTGAGAGCGGAGCAGGAGAGGCAGAAACGGGAGCTGGAGGCCAAGGCTAGGAGCGCGGTGGATGAGGCGAGGGTGCTGAGGGAGGAGCTTGAGGATTTGAGTGCGGAGAAGGATGAGGCGGCGAGGGTGGCGGAGCGGGAGGTTAATGACCTCCGGGCTAAGCTTGCGGCGTGTCAGCGGGGGAAGAGTGAGTTGGAGGAGGGGAATAAGGGGAGGGAGGAGATGCTGGAGAGGGTGCAGGCTGCGGTGGGGGAGAAGGATGAGATTATTGGGGAGCTGGAGGCGCAGGTGTTGATGCTCAAGGCGCAGACGGGGGACGCGGAGACTATTGCTGTCATCAGGAGGGAGCTGTCGGATCAGGTGACGCATATTAGGGCGCTGGAGGCGAAGAATAGGGAGCAGATTACCGAGCTCAGGCACTTGCGCCAGGTGCACAAGGCTGTGGAGGTGGTCGAGGAGGAGAAGAGGTCTTTGCAGCGGAAGGTGGAGGCTGCGGTTGGTGTTGAGCGGGAGCTGGCGGAGGAGAGGACGCAGAGGCAGAGGTTGGAGGATGAGAGGATGGCTTGGGCGGCGTATTTGGAGGGTGAGGGGCAGGCTGAGTTTGACTCGCCTGAGGAGGTGGCCAGGGCTCTTGTTGCTGAGCGGCTCAACTCGGCGAGCTTGCTGGAGAAGATAGGGTCTCTCCAGCCTGAGGTTGCTGATCGGGATAATATCATTAGGTCTCTTGAGGAGGAGAAGGCCGGGCTGCTGGAGCAGATTGAGAAACTCAAGGCTCCTGGGGGGTCCAGTGGGGGGAACGATAAGGCTCGTGCCCGTCTGGACAGGCAGCGCGCCCTTGCCGTCAAGGAGGTTGAGTACCTTAGGGCGCAACTCAGGACGTTTGACATGGAGGATATCACCATGCAGCCTGAGACAGTGGACGAGCAAAAGGCGCAGAGGATACAGGAGCTGGAGGATCTGGTTGATCGGTACAAGACCGAGGTTGCGACGCTTCACGCCGATTTGACGTCTCTCGAATCTGCCGCTGTGTCCCCGGTTCAGCCTGTCATTGGGAGCAAGCGTCCCCGATCGGACTCTGACGACACGGAATCCGAACATTTGGGGCAGCTGGCCAGGAAAAACAGGAAACTCCAGGCTGAGCTTGCCGACGTTCAGCAAACGCTACATCTTTTACGAAAAGAACACGCCGTCACGGTTGAACAGCTAGCCAAGGCAAAAGAACGGGCCTCGACCCGAGTTTTGTCTCTTAGGTCTAACCCAACATCCGACTACGAAGCCATCAAGACCGCCACCTTGGCCGCGTTGAAAGCCGAAAACGCCGAGCTGGTAGCTCACATTCAACGTCAGCCAACACTGTTTTCCACCATACCCACATCGCAACTCGCCGCTGCCCAAAGGGAGGTAGCAGAGGCAAAAGCAGAAACCGCCTCGGCGCACAAGAGTTCACGCCGACTGAAGGAGGTGTGGGCGGCAAAGTCGGCAGAGTTCAAAGAGGCTGTTTTTAGCACGCTGGGGTGGACGGTGAGTTTTATCCCTGGGGGGAAGATGAGGGTCGAGAGCGTTTACTACCCCTCAAAAACGGACGACCACGAGAACAGCATTGTTTTTGATGGGGAGAAGGGGACGATGAAGGTTGGTGGTGGGCCGAGGAGCGAGTTTGCGGTGAGGATTGGGGATCTGATCAAATTCTGGGTGAGGGAGAGGGGGTGCGTGCCGGGGTTTTTGGCGGCTTTGACGTTGGAGTTTTGGGAGGAGAGGCACGGGGGGCAGGAGGATCACTCTTCTTAGGGAGGGGAGGATGGGTTGAAGGGGCAGGAGGGGGGTGATGAGTGGGAGAGGAGGTGGTATGGAAGGGAGGTGGCGTAGGATGGGCTTGTTTGTTTGTTTGTTTGTTTCTGTGGGCGAAAAACGGAGTTTTCACATGGATCAAGGGTCAAGGTTTTAATGAGATATGAGCATTGCATCGCAAAGAAGGACGTAGATGAAGAGATAATCGAGTATTACACATTAAACAGAGGCACCACAAAAACAGGTGGTTCGGGTATTGTGATGATGTGACAGCACTTGCTGGTCAACTTGGGCTTCACTGTCCTACACTTGATGGCTTGTGATATGTAGCTGCATAAAACTTTCGTGTTGGAAAGAAAATATGTTCATTTCTTCAAAAGTGTACTTGTCCACCAGGTATACATAATGCTCCCATCCTCCCAGCTTCCTCACCACTTACATACATTTTCACCTTTACTCACCACATCACTCACACAACCAGGCCCAAAAAAAGGCGATAATAATCCAAGAATAAGAATAGTTAAAAGTGATACAAGTAAGAAAGTTAACAAAAAAAAAACAAAGAAAACCTCTAGGAAAATTATATAAACGAGAGCAAGGCTTTTCTTTGCCTTCTTCTACATCATTCCATCCATCCATGCTGGCTTAATAGGTTCCTCATGAAACTCCTTCATTCCACACATCGTTGCAAAAACGCACATCTTTTTGAACCCGACTCACTTCGACTCACTTCGACTCATATACTTCCCCGCCACCATCTTCCTCACCACTGGCAAGTCAACCCACCTCCTCGTGTCCTTCGGACTCGCCAAGCTCCCCGCATCAGCAAACGGGTCTTCCTCGTCCAGTTCCCTCTCCTTGCCCTTGCTCTCCCCTAATCTGGCTACCGAAATCCCACTGCCTGTTCCTGGCCCTTCCGATTCATTAGATGTGTACTCCCACCTCACTTCCACATGACCCGGTTGTGGCTCGGCGTTTTGTTCTCCAATTACCCGGCAGATGATCTTGCCCCAGTCTTGGGTCAGGGTGACGTCCCCGAGGCGCCAGTATACAAGGTGCTTGTCCTTCAGGTGCGTGCCCGAGGGCTTGGTCTGCACGCCGCTTGCCTTGGCACCTTCGTATGTTGCTACGAAGGAGAGGTTCGAGAGTGTTACTGGGCGGGGCAGGTTCGAGGCCGGGTTGAGGCGGTATTGCAGCAGCAGACCAAGCTTGTCACCTTGAGGCTTCCATACGGGGTGTATGACAATCGGACACTGGCTGGCTAAAGCCGTATCCGAATCGGAGTGGACGCGGTAGGTGAAGGCGGTGGTTGTGCTGCCGAGGTGCGAAACATCGACCGTAAACTCATCGGGCGAAATCGTGTTGCCGACAAAGGTGCGGTTAGGACCGATGGATTCGAGCAGCGAGAACTTGTTAAGCTTGATGGTTTCGTGGTCTGTTCCGAGTTGGTTAACTATGCCCGTTCGTGAGAGACCGAGGAGAACATACCTGGCTGGGCAGCGTCGGGGTCAGGGTTGTAGGACAACGCAATCTCGCCCGTCACCTTGACAGACTTGACCTCGCCCTCTTCAAAGATGGCAGACACCGATTCAATCACTGACGAGTTCAGGCCGGTCGGATGCTCGGATCCGTGCATGTCCGGGTGCCGCAGCCTAGCAAAACCGCTGTAGGATGATACGCCGCCAAGCGATGTGCCTGAGCGGATCGACTGGGTGTCGGAAGCACGAGAGGTATGGCTCCCTTCTGTCGAGAACGGCGGCGTGGGCCTTGCCAGTGTCGTGGGAGGTAGTGATGGTGATGGCGGGAATGCGCTCCCGGGTACTTCGTGTGTTGGGGCTGGCATGTAAACCGTATTTCTTACATCTCTCCTGCCACGGACAGTACCCGTCTTTCTAGCAGGCGCCCCCATGGTCGTCAGAACACTGGCCACATTGGACAAGGCTGCTTGCTTCGCATCCTGGTCCTCCTCGGCGATGGGCTCGTTTTGGATGTTGAGCTTAAACATGTGATCCCCCTCCTCGGCCGCCGCCTCCCTCTGGGCCCGAGAGATGGGATCGTTCATGGCACCTGGAATCGTGAACCCTTCAGCATCCTTTGATGGTTCCTCCTTTTGCTGCGCTGGCGGAGGCCCTGGAGGTGGCTGAACGTCAAAGATGTCCTCGGCGGTTCCATTCAGAAGGCTGGATGACTGCACATCCTTGTTGCCATCCCCACCAGTGACCCCGTTCGTGCCGTTAGGACCCTCATGTGAAGCCCTGGCATTCTCCTTCTCCGCTGTCGAGTCACGATGATCCGCGGCACCCGGGCTCTTGGGAGTCTCGACAACGGACGATAATCTATTCTGAGAGTCATTGTTCAAGTTGTGAGACGAAGATCTCGGTGACAGGGCGTGGCCATGGCTGCTTCCGAGGTTCCGAGAAAATGGGCCGAGTCCCTTCTGAGGAGATATTTGCCCAAACCCGGCATGGACACTCTGTCGTCGGCGTCCCAACATGGTGCCGATCCGACTCCGGAGTTTCGATTCCGGGTGTCCCTGGTGTTGGAAGGAGTGTTCGCTAGTAACATCATCGTCGTGGCCGCCGTGAACGCTAGGGGGGGCTGCTGCGGTTGGCGTGGTGACGTTGGAGGCCCTCGTGTTGGTCGACCTCCTTTCAATCTTTGGCTTCCCAGCCGTGACCTTGCTCGCAAAGTTCTCGATCTCCTTGGCAGTGTTGACCTCCAGCATCATGTTCAGCACCTCTTCGGCAGCGGCCTGGGTTCGCGTTGCCTGGTCCACCTCGTGTGTCTCGAATTGGGTCAGCACGTCGCGCAAGTGGTTGATGCGCTGCTCGTCCAAAGCTTGAAGCGTTTCGAAGATGAAGGGCGCCTGCGACTCCCATTGCTGGTTGGCAGCTTCCAACCTGGATGCCGCTTGATCCACCTTTTGGGCATTAGCCTTGCCGCCCTTCTTGGACAGCTTCTCCGACTTTTCGGCGGCATCGTCCAACTCTCTGGCCATAGTCTGGAGGTTCGCGCCGATGTTCTGGATATTCTGCATCTCCTTCTTGTTCTGAAAGGTTCGTAAGGAGTGTTCGACATCTTTCTCGATGCGCTGAGCGAGCAAGTGATGGGATGCAGCAATGGCGTCGGTAGACTGAAGGATCTTATCCCATGGTGCTTGGAAGACGCTTTGCGCAACCTGATGTTAGTCAACGCGGACTTTCAAGGAGTACGGGAGAGTCACCAACCCAAGCTCGGATGACGCGTTGGGCACCTTGAAGACAAGCAGCTTTCGCAGGCCGGCGACGTACTGTTCCTCAACCCTTTTGCGTTCCTGTTCCACTCTTTAGTTCCTGTCCGGTTCCCGGGCGTCGAAAATGCGTACCTGGAGCCAGTCGGCGATCTCGTTGTTGACTTTCGTGATGCGCTTGACTCGGTCGGACAATGTTTGCACGGCTTGGGTTGGTTGGAGGTTGGCCTGCGACAGGGAGGACACGCAGTCGGTCAGCATCGCAAGGGGAATTCAGAGGAGGCAAACAAATGAGCTCACCAGCATAGCTGGGTACTCGGCCCGCGAGAGGTCGTCGGTGGCAGCCATGGCCGGCAATGTGCTGGTACGAGTTGGTCGTGAGGCGCAAATTGGCCAAAAGTCAAAAGGGCCGAGCCAAGCGAAGAGAGGAGGGGACGGAGCGGCGCTGGGTTTGGTTAAATCAACTCATGCCAGTAAATGCAACGGTGGTACTTGGCCGCCGAGCGGCGACAGAGAGAGAAAGAAAGAGTGATAGATAGCGAGAGTGAGAAGAAGATGGCAAAAGAATACAAAAAGACAAAGGGACGATGATAAATTGCTTGGGGCAGCTTAAACGGCGTGCAGGCAGCGTCTGAAATTGCAAGTTCGCGGCTTTCGGGCCTGGACCTGGACAGTGTGGACAGCGGACAGTTGATGTCACGGGGATGAAAGCTCGCATTTTCTGTGGGGAAGCTGCACAGCCCGTCATTTGAATTGACAAATTGCCCTCCAGCCAATCACTGAGCTCCCTGCCGGCGATGCCAAGCACCGCCAGCCAGCCGCATCCTTCCACAGGGCATCAGACTCGATCCACAGCAGATGCAGAAGACCCTGGAACTGTTTCTGGAAGAGCTTCTGGAAACATCATCATCATAGTGACCTGCCTTGAGCCAATGCGGGCAGTTTGTCTCTCTGAAACTTTACTTCCCTCAGACTGTCCTCAGAGTTGATCACTGTTCCCAGCTAACAATAGCCAATCTTACTGCTTGCTGCCTCCCCAACTGCCGTTTACCTCGGGAAGGTAACTCAGGGCGGACGCATTCAGGGGTTCAACACACAGACACCACCATCTCATTCCCAGATGTCAGACTCGGCTGATTGGAGGGCTGTACTTACGGCCTCGGAACGATATGACAACATCCAGAGGCTGTGGGTTTATTGCTGTTATTGTTAGCTCTTTTCTTTTTTGATACTGATGATATGCACAACAAAACAGAACCAAGGTACTGGCTGCCTCTGGAGGTGGTGCGTTTAGCTTTGAGGATGAAGCTTACAAGACATCTACCAGCAGAGTAGGTTTCACTACCTACCTTATCCTTACTTTGCCGATGGGCTCTAACTGGCTGTAGGAAGAATATGATTCCGCCTGCAATCCACCACCATCCTCTCCGCCATACTCACCACCAGAAGGTGTCACTACTCCTGCAAGTCCCGGCATCAAAATAGGTAGCTATGCCAACTGTCACTACATCGATGACGGCGCCACCTCCCAAGTCTATCGCTCCGATACCTACGCCCTTAAAGTCATTGTCGAAACCAACATCGCCCCTCACAACCCCCGCCTCGAAGCTAGGCTCTTGTCGTCCTTGTCCCACGAGAACATCATCAGCCTCATCGAAACATTTTATGACCAATCCACCCGCTTCGTTCTCGTCTTCCCTTACATGCCTCTGACTCTCAACCGGGTTCTCGAGCAACACACCGAATCCAACACCACCCTCTCATCCCGACAAACTAACCACATCTTTGTCGCTCTATTCTCGGCTTTGGATTACTTACACACCCAAGGCATCATCCACCGGGACATCAAACCCTCCTCTCTGCTTTTATCCTCCCCCTTCTCCGCCTCATCTCCCGACCCCAGCATCACACTGATAGACTTTGGCACAGCCTGGTCACCCGAGCACTCACCGCCAACCGAACCAGCGGATAACAAAATCCTCGACATTGGCACAAGCCAGTACCGTGCTCCTGAGGTGCTATTCGGCAACAAGTCGTACACCACGGCGGTGGATATCTGGGCTGCGGGCGTGATGTTGGCGGAGTGTATCATGAAGCCGTGTCCCAGGCCGTTGTTTGAAAGTAGGGGTGTACACGAAGATGGGAACCAGCTCGGGTTGATATTGAGTATCTTCAAGACGATTGGGAGTCCGACAGAGGAGACCTGGCCAGAGGCAGGGAGGGGCGGGAAGGAGGGGTTGAGGACTGTTCCGTGGGAGAGTTGGAGGGCTTTTGAGAGGAGGGGGTGGGAGGAGGTGCTGCCGGAGGTGGTGGGAGACAGGTGGAGGGAGCTGGTGGGGAGGTGTGTGAGGTATCAGAGTGAGTGGAGGGTCAGGGCTGGAGAGGCGGTGGAGATTTTGAGAGGGGGGAAGTGAGAGGTTAGACTGACCAAATCCAAATGACAAAGCAATCAACCAAGAATGACATTATCGGCCCGGACAAGCAGCTGTTAATCTTCGGAGTGGGCCGACCCGGGAACTGTGTCTGGCGCCGGCTTGGCACTCCGAACCGCCCCCCCCCCCCCAGAACATCGGGTCCGCCCAACGCGGCCTAGCGGCGGACAAGGGGACCCAAAAGTCACGCGGGGAAGCAGGGAGCTGGGATCATGTTGTCGCAGTGAAGAAGGCTTGGCGGGATGGCACCCGATCGATAAGAGCTTCATGACACACGAGCTGCGCCGTTGAAGCGCAGAAGAAAATTGGCTCGTGGAACATTGGAATGTTCACTTCAGCTTCTCTTTTGGAGAGAAGGTGGGGGTCATGATATTCCCCCCTCATCCCCCCCTCACTTCCCTCAAACTCATATCAACACGAGAAAAGGTATCCAGGTTGTTGGTGGCGCTCGACATCGGGCTTAATTGGTTGGATCTCACTGATTCCAAGGAAGCCGAAGTGGGGCTGCTCCCGCCTGGGTCACCGACCTTCTGATTGTCGGGATCGCCATCATTGGTCCGTCGCCCATGCACCTATCAACGAGACTTGGGGGGGAGGGGAGGGGGGGTGAATGGTAGGCAGCTCGATGCTGGCCGCCCATGGCTGGCTGGGCTGTGCCCCCGGGCTGGAAGAAAGCACTACTGCTGGTCGACTGCATGATCCCGACATACTACCCCCGAGCCAGTCTCTTTCTTCTCTTCTCCTTGCTTTCCGCTCTTGTCCAGTGTTTTTTGTTTTCGTGTTTGATCCGGATTGAATCATGAGGAAGAGCACACCATGAAGAACAGACAGAAGTCGAGAACTGGTACGCGAGAGTTTCTCGTCCCCCTCATCAACAGCCTTGTTGTTGTTGTTGTTGTTGTTGTTGTTGTTGATGATGATGATGATCCTCCTCCGCCTTATCTGACGCGCGCTGTTGCTAACTTTGACCGATAGGTTGTCGAACTTGTAAAGTCAGGCGGGTACGCGGCCCAGGATGATTCTGAGTTTAACTTTTCTGTCCCCTTGGCCAGACTAACCTATCCTCTCTGTAGCTGCGATGTGATGAAGCCAAACCCGCCTGTGAGAACTGTCTCAAGAAGGGCTTCCAGTGCCCCGGTTATCAGCAGCGTCTCCAATGGTCGACCAAGCATGAAAGGCCGATGGTGGTTAACACGACAGGGCCTGACAACTTTGCCCAGCTCGTCACCGCTGCTTCGGCCTCTATCGTCAAGACCGCCTCCCCTGCCGGCAACCCATCTGGGTCTGACGCCAACGTCCCGGCCGCAAGCCCGACGACTCCCAGCCCGGCTGCGGCTGTAAGCCGGGAATCTTCCTCGGCACCGCGGTCGGCTACACTATCCGCCTCGCCGCCACCGTCTTCATTTACCCTCTCGCCACCACCCCAGTCAGAGGCTCCCGTCGACGATGGTACTGACGGTGATGGCGGCACTCTTGTTCCCGTCGCCCGGAAGAGTGGCGGCTTGACTCCGACGAATCGGCAACAGGAACCCATGATGTTTCAGCAAGTGGTGGATATTCCTACGTTCCTGATAGAACACTGGTTCAAGTCTGTCTGTTGTTCCTGGTCGGCTTTTGACTCTCAGACAAACCCCTACCGCCGACTAACCTCGACACTGTGGAACACATCGACACCCGTGTTCTATGCCCTCCAAGCCATCTCGGCAGCCTCGCTTGTCGAGCGCCTTCCTCATGTCATCAAAGACACGGCCCGTGCCGCCCCCCGAAAGGCTGCCGAGGCCATCCACAAAGAGCTCGTCGCCTTCTCGACAGGCTATCGTCCGCGTTTCCCGGTTGAGCTCCTGTTATCCTTGTTCTGTATGAGCTCGTCCATGTGCTGGATGGAGTCGCGACAACTTGGCCAGCAATACGTACGACAGGCCCACAACGTGCTGAAGATCCTCGACCGCCAGACGCTCGATTTCGAATCGCAGGAACTCCTCGACTTCTTCAAGGGATGTTTGCTGTACGAAGAGGCGCTGAGGAGTGTGGTGTCGGAGGAGGAAATAGACTTCGCCAACATGCTCAGCTGGGCAGAGCCGACAGATCAAGGACCGCTGGTGGCCGCAACACCGCACGCATGGACAGGTGTTTCTGCTGACGTCTTTCGACTTTTCGGCAAGGCTGTTGCCCTTTGCCGGCGGTCCCGCACACGATGGCGGCATAACGATGGGACGAGCTATCGCGTCCTGCAAGGTGCCATGAGGGACATCCAGGAGGCTACCGTGATCGAAGAGTCATTGCTGTCCATTGATATCACGTCTGTCGAGACCAGCCTCACGCCTGATACGGCTTCGACGATATCGACTGATCTGTACAATGCTACGCAAGCCTATCGGCTCTCATCACTCCTCCAGCTGTACGAGACTTTCCCCGATCTCGTCGCAAAGCGAATGCCCGATTTGGCGGACCAAGATGGAACCATTCTCTGGAGTGCATGGGTATCTCCCTTGGCCCTTCACGTCACGGATGTTCTCAGGGCTCTGCCAGTTGGAAGCATGCGATGTATCCAACCGCTGCTCTGTCTCTGCGCGGGGAGCGGGCTGCGGTTCGACAGGAAGGTCTCCCTCGGTCGCGGCCATCAGAGCTTCCTGCTCAGCACCGAGTCGACGGCTGCGGCGGCGATCCCCACGCCCACATCGGGTATTGTCGCTGACACGGACTCTTCCCTCGCCGCCACGCCCGGGATGTCCGAGAATGCCATCAAGACGTCACAGGCCCGGTCGTTCATCATGGCCCGGTTGGATCAGCTGGAGAACAGCCTGCCACCGAAGCCGATTGGTGTGGCCAAGCAGCTGCTGCGTGCTGTCTGGACCGCGTATGACGAAGAGATTGGGCTGGCACGTCGGACGCACTGGTTGGATGTGATGAGCCAGACAGGCCTCCACAGTCTATTCGGATGAGGTGATCCTAACACTACAAGACATTCTCTCCACCACAAGTCAAGGTCAAGATTTATGCAGATGACACGCCGGGGGGGCGAACTCAGTCGAGAGCAATCGTCCCCTTGTCGGTAGGGGTATAATCTTCCTCCTCGGGGTGCACCAAAATGCCGAGAGACTCCTCGGTCTCGTGAAAGTCAAGCCCCTCATGGATATGCCTAATCACGGTAGGTTAGCCCATCCTCTTCAGATGCCCTCGAAAAGAGAACTTACTTGTCAACCGCCAGCACCTCCAACCCGGGGATGCAGTCGATCCCCGCGATGATCAACCAGCTCCCAAAGAAACTCCAGCTGAAGCCGACCAACACCTCGACGATCTGCACCCACAACTGCCTCACGTTCCCATCAAACACCACCCCCCCGGGAACATCCAGCCCGCCATACGCCGCCACCTCCCTCCGCGCAAACAAGCCCGTCATGACGGTGGCCACCACACCACCAACACAATGTGTAGCAAAGGTATCCCCATTGTCGACCCACCTCCACTTATGCGCCAGCTTGGTGAACTTGATCCTCAACGCCTGGCGACAAACGACCGCGCCAAAGACACCAAAGAAGAACGCAGTAGGCATGTCGATGAACCCCGCCGAGGGCGTGATCATCACCAACCCGGCAATCGCGCCCATGAACGTCGCGTCGAGTGACCACTTGCCCGATTCGAGAAAGGTCATCACCGACCAGGTGAGGGCTCCGGAGGCGGCGCAGAGGTTGGTCACGCAGAGGGCCATGACGGACTGGAAGTTTAGCGCGAGGGCGGTGCCGGCGTCGAAGGCGAGCCAGGAGCCCCAGATGATGATCATGCTGACGAGCTGGAAGAAGGAGTTTCCGGGACGGTGGAGGCGGATGTGGGTCGGGGTGCGGAGGGGGGATTTCTTGGAGCGGAAGATGGGGTAGGAGAGGTAGAGGGAGATTGCGGTCGCGGTGGCGCCGGAGCAGACGTGGACGGGGGTTCCTTTTTTCCCATCTCACAGTCAATACAAACAGATGGAGCATATTGAAATGGGATGGTGCTCACCCCCCGCGAAATCCAACACTCCAAGCTCCTCTCCCAGCACACCACCCCCCCAGACCATGTGCGCGAGGGGACAGTAGATGAATGTTGACCATAACGCGATGAACACCGCGCAGGACTTGATGGTGCCCCGTTCTACGAACCCGCCTACTGCGATGGCGCAGACCGTGGCTTCAAAGACGAGCTGGAATTCACTGAACAAAATGGCGGGGATGGTGCCGACGGGCGAGGAGAGGACGTCGCGGTGGAAGAGGTGGGCGGTCCAGGAGCCGAAGAACCAGCCGTTTCCCGGGCCGTAGGCGAGGGAGTAGCCGAGGACGAACCACTGGATGGAGCAGATTGAGATCACGAGGACAGCAGGGAGGGCGGCGGTGAGGGAGTTGCGGCGCCAGGTGTAGCCGCTGTAGGCTATTCCTACCTGTGGGGGGTTGGGGGGCGGGGTGTTAATGACTTGTAAGGGGAAGGGGGGGAGGAAAGGGGAAAGGGGTAAGGGAAAAGGGAAAAGGGGGAAGGGGAGGGTTAGGGTTTGTGATGATGGTGTGGTGATGAGGGAAAACATACAGTCGGGACAATGGTCCAGCAGATTACCGTGCAGACGAGGATAAACAGGGTGTCTATCTTGTCGCAGTCCTCCCAGGCGGCGACGACCGAGGAGGCCATTTTTCCTCTTTTTGTCAATCGGTCTGTCTGTCTGTCTGTCTGTCTGTCTGTCTGTCTGTCTGTCGTGCTTACTTTAATGAATCGGATCGATACAAGGAAAGCAACGAGGTAAAAAAGTGTGTCATTCACCCAACCCAATAAACAAGGTGCTGTTCGTGGTGTGTAACAAGCAAGCAAGCAAGCAAGAAATATCTTCCCAATGTCGAAAAAGATAAGAAAGTTACCCTCTGAGAACCAACAACACCGCACGCAGATGGTTGACATCATGCTGTTGGGTTGCGAAGGTAGGTAGGATCAATATATATGTACCCATCCGGCCATCCGCGCCCTCTTTCCCCCCCCCCCCTCCTCTACAAAACCACGACCTCGGTAATCACCTTCTTCTTTTGGGTTCATTTTCCTCTTTTTTTCTCCCAATTATTTCTGAAAGTGGTATACAGCTCCCCCAAAGAGCGGGGTTGGGTTGGGTTGGGGAGGAGATGATGCGTTGTGATACCTGTTGATAAGACATTTATGTACATACAAATCGCCCCCCCTCTCTGATAAGAGCTATGGTGGAGATAAGGGGAACAAAAGCTTCCGATGCAACGCCGTGGTGCTATGCATGTGTAAGTGGTTGGTTGGTTGGTTGTACTTTTTTGCTCGATGGGGATTAGCGCCGGATGGACTCCCCGATATTGATCAATTTGTCCATTTACAGCTCCAGACAAAGCATTCTCATCACAACCACACCTACTCGGTCAGCTAATAAAACATCGGAATCCCCCAGATCTGCATCCATCCATCATGCTCCGAGCCCCCTGCGCCGTCGTGTACAACCACCACCATGACACACCATCCTCAGCCTATCACGCCCTTTCCCGGGCAATATGTCGTTGCTTCCCCATCCCAGACTATCGACCCGATGATGCACGCGGGGCAGCTGGTTGGTGATCCGGCACACAGCTTGTGAGACCTCCATCCTAGCGGGGGAATCAACGCCCCCCTGTACTGGTTCACTCGCTGCCGTGGAATCTTGCATATAAAACCCTCCGCCAAGGCCTTTCTTTCCGAGCACTCATATCTCGTTGTCTACTGCAATCTACCACCACCGCTACTGCCAAGAATACCCTCCATCCGTCTTGGCCCTGCATGTACACTGCCTAGTGTAGCTTCTCGGCCCGTACCGAATCACTCACCTCTAGAAATGGCAGACATGGAAAAGAAGCCGCCCGTGGGCAATGGGGCTGTCGAGGCGCAGTTGGGAAACGCCACCCCCGAGACGGACATCATCAATCTGCTGGGGTACAAGCCTGAGCTGAAGCGGAACCGGTCAATGTTTACGCTGTTGTTTCAGAGCTTGGCTATTGCTGCTGTATGATCATCGCCATGCTGGGCAAGGTAAAGAGGAGACTGATGATGATTTGAACTCTAGATACCCTACGGCTTCGGCGGTCCCCTCATCAGCGCCATCTACGGCGGGGGCGAGTCCTTTCCTTGCCTACAGAACAAATGATAATAACTAACAAAACCAGGCCAACTCCCCATGTTCCTGGGCTGGATCTTAGTTCTGATCGTAGACGAGTGCATCGCCCTCTCCCTAGGCGAGCTCGCCTCTCGCTATCCCACCTCAGCAGGCCCCTACTACTGGTCCTTTCAACTCGCCCCTCCCCGCTTCCGCACCGTCCTCTCTTTCGTCACAGGATGGACCTGGCTGATAGGCAACTGGACAATTACTCTCTCGGTCAACTTTGGGTTTGCCTCCCTCATCGCCGCCTGCGTGGCGCTGTACCACCCTGATTTTATCATTGAGCCGTGGCAGTTGCTGCTCATCTTCTACGCGATCTGCGGTATAACGTTTTTGATATGCGCTTACGGGAATAGGTTGCTGCCGGCGGTTGATACCGCCTGCGCGGCGTTTACTGCCGTGGCGATTTTGGTGACGCTTGTTTGTTTATCTGCCAAGGCGGAGGTGGGGAGGAATGAGGTGGGGGAGACGTTGGGGGGGTATGATACCAGTTTGAGTGGGTGGGGGGGTTTCAGCTTCTTCATCGGGGTGTTGCCGGCGGCGTATACGTTCAGTGCCATTGGGATGGTGTCGGCCATGGCGGAGGAGTGTGATGATCCGGCGGTCAAGCTGCCGAGGGCGATTGCGCTTTGTGTGCCGGTTGGGGGGGTTGCTGGGCTTTTCTTCGTATGTCTTGCTATTCCTTTCGTCCGTGAGAGAGAGTTGCTGACCACAGGTGTAGATCATCCCTATATGCGCCACCATGCCGGCCTTGGAATACATCCTCGACGCCCCCGTCGCCCAGGCTTTGCCTTACATCTTTGCTGCCGTCATGGGCTCCCCCGCTGGGGGCTTGGGACTGAGCATCCTCGTCCTGATCATCACGTTCTTTTGCTCCATCTCCATCACCGTCGCCGCGTCGCGTTGCACCTGGGCGTTCGCCCGCGACAAGGCCATACCTGTCTCGAGACTCTGGAGCAGGGTTGATGCCCGCCACGGGGTGCCCATCTGGGCTCTGGCGCTGACGACAGTTGTTCAGATGCTGCTCGGGCTGATCAACCTTGGGTCGTCGTCTGCCTTCTTGGCGTTCGTCTCTGTGGGCGTGATATCACTTGCCGTGTCGTATGCGATTCCGATCTCGATCAGCATGCGGCATCGCCGGAGGGAGGTGAATGCCGCGCGGTGGACGATGGGGGCGAAGGTTGGGTGGGTGGTGAATGTGATTGCCGTGTTGTGGATTGTGTTTGAGACGGTGCTGTTTTCGATGCCGCAGGTGTTGCCGGTGGATGAGGTGACGATGAATTATGCGATTGTGGTGTTTATGGGGTTTATGGTGTTGAGTGCGGTTTGGTATGGGGTTTATGCGAGGAAAGGTGAGTTGATTCTTTGGGGTCTGATGATGAGTGGGTGCTGATGATTTTGGTAGTTTATGTTGGGCCTCCTGAGTCGGATGGGATTAAAGTTGAGAGGTGATCGAACGGTAGGCATGTTTGCACCGCAATGGAAGATTTGATTTGAGATTTACAGGCCTATGATGATCAAGTGGTATTGTGCCGGCTATGGCTATGGCTATGGCTATGGCGGGTGATGGTAACACGTCAAAACCGGTCCGCTAGCGTCCGCTTCGGCTGCGGGTTAGAATGCCGGAGTTAAGGCTGTGATGCTACGGTAGGTATTGCTTACTGTGGGTCGCCATATTGAGAGACTGCCATATGACAACAAGGGAATATCTTACTGCTGTACGGCCTGTCATTGAGGCAACAAGAATATGTTGCTGGTAGCATAGGTAATAATACCATCGCCGTCCATCGATAGCAGTCCCACTGCCATCGAAGCTTCCCCCTCCCCCTCCCCCCCCAATCATCATCTTCATCATTATCTATATAAACCGCCATCAACCTCTCTCCCCTCCCGCACATCGTCACATCACCCCATCACACCATCACAATCAGCAAACCTCGAACACACACTCTCAACCATCACCCACGCCATATCCACCACCCTCACCCACTTTGGCGCCTTGGACATCGTAATCAACAACGCGAGGCTACCTCCTCACCGGGGACAGCGAGTCCATCCTCCTCTCCCGCGCCACCTCTCCCTTACCCAAGACCAATTCCAGACAAACTTCTGGGGTCCACAGCCTTACTAACCTTACATGCGGTTCGACACGTGCGGCAGTCTGGTGGTAAAAGGGGAGGGGGGGTGATTTTGAATATAACCTCCATCGGCGGCCGGCTTACCGCCCCTGGCAGCGCGTTTTATCACGCGAGTAAATTTGCTCTTGAGGGGTTTACAGAGAATGTGAGAAAAGAGTTGAGGCCTGAGTGGAATGTGAAAATGGGGGTTGTTGAGATGAAGGGAATACATTTCTTGGAATCTCCGCTCGATGGGTTCGGTGGTAGTTTAGTGTACTAGGCTAAAATCAAGTCTTGGATTGCTATCATGCTTTCATGAGAGCCCCTGAGGGTTGCTGTAGCAACGGCGAGAATGTGTTTGTTGCCCGAGATGTCGCGATGCTTCGCTCGTGATGTTGGTAAGAAATGTTGGTGAGATGCAATCAAAGGAAAAGTCAAGAGAAAATTGCGATGTGAGATCTCAAGTGGAAAGATGCTGTGTCGTATGATGCCTTGCCCACCGGTGCGTCACCCAGTCCGACTGCTTGCTGCAAAAGTCACATTCTGTTTTGGCTAGGGAAATCAATCAAAGAAAGTCAAAAACAGATTCAGTTATACAAAGATACAGCGAACATATCATAGGCTACCTAACCAGGAAGGGTTGCCAGCTCAGCTTTTCATACATTGGTGGCGATGTGGTATCTTTGAGTATCATTAAGCGGTGAATGGGAGCCTGCTGGTATAAAAGTCTTTTGTGGCAGCAGCTGAAAAGAGATCACCTAATGAGAGTACTAAGAATGGTATCTGAAGGTGTCGGTGATGTGTATGATGAAATGTTGTTTGCGCGCTGGCATATGTACAATCCTGCAATCTATATCGACTGAGGGACAGGTCAGTGTTTCCATGCTGGCACAGTTTGTTGATGTTTGTTGCTCAGGGGGGAATTTAGGGGTATTTGCACCTTGTATAAGAGAGCCATGCAGCTATTTTCCCAGCACAGGCCAGTCCGTGATGTTCCATGATACAATATAGACATGAGATTCCAAATGTTTTACAGCATTATACTGCCATATTTAACCGGGGAAACCCAATCCATCATTCATCGCACAATGGTATGGATGCCCATCATGAATGCTAAGGCATAGCCACCGCCATCATGGTAGCCATCACAGCAAACATCATCTTCCGTCCTGACATTCTGGGATCACTCTTGCAAGTGTTATCAAGTGAAAATATGCCAAGTGCTAGTCGCAAAGTGCATACCCAGCACATACGATGTGAACAGAAAAGGAGACCGATGGGGTATCAAGGGAGTGAAAAACAGTCCTGGACATGTCACGTGGGCACGGATCAACCGCCTTAGTCTTCTGCATCTTTTCAGTCTAGTCTACGGCCTGTCCTCTTTCTTTTTATACATGCTAACATCATCGCCTTTGTTCACAACTTTGCTGCGTCCTTGGGATACCCAACATGCCCCAAGACTATCATTAACGGCCCTGTAGACAGAAGAAAAAAGACTGCGGCGAGATATCAAGGGCTTTGAACATAGTTAGTATGCCTCCCGACCATGTCTAAAGGCTTCACAACTATCTCTTACTCGTCTTTAAAAGTCTACTGACGATCCTTTCAAGGATCAATCATCTATACCATGGGCCTTTCAACTCCCTGTGTACCGATGTCTTCTCACCATCTTCCAAGGCCCTCATTCACGGAGACTGTCTCTATTTTCTTGTCCTTAACGTGCCCCGTGGTAGCAGCCCCCATCCCCTACTAACACCCCCAGCCTCGGTGACATTCACTATCCCGACGTTAAAGATGGGAGAGTAACCTAAGGACTTATGTATCAAGAGCCACAGTCATGTCACCTCTACTCCCACAAGTTGGAACCAGTGAATTTACAAGAGCACCGTCGACGCCGAGTGAATCCATTTTGGCGAGATGAGCCCGGCAAAGTGGATTAAGCGGGTCCAAGTGAATACGGGGAGGTGAAGCCCAGTCTTGCTCTTGCCCGGGGCCTCTTCCTCGGGTATTCAACGGGCTGCCACCTCCCCTCCATCCTCCCCTCCCATCTCTCGCTCTAACTCTCCCTCCCCCAGCCATCATCACCACATCTTTGCTTAACCCCCTCGCTTTTTTTTGGTTCCCATTCAGCATCGCTTTTGCTCCTACATCGCCTCAAAGAGACATATATATATATATATACGTCGTTTTATCTCTTAACAAGAATGTCAAAGGGAAAGCGAAGACACACCAAGCGGTGGCGTTACCACCACCGCCGCCCAAAAGCCAACCCCAACTACATCATCAAGACCGATGATGCCACCCCCGTTCTCGCCCTGCCCATGGAGTTGTTTGTCAAAATCGGCAAGTATTTGACACAAGCGGAGGCCATGGCGTTTGGTGCGGCTTGCAAACAGGTTGGGTACATGCTCAGACCGGCCATCTGGCAGTCCCTCGCGCTCAAGACGGACTCGCACGCGAGGTTTGGGGAGGAGCTGGGCCGAATTGTTGCCCGCGCGAAGGCCGAGCTGGACAGGTTCCAGCGCTGCGAGCTGCCTTGTCGGCCGTTTGTGGAGGATGTCAAGTATGTTTTTCGTCCCATGTCACACGATTGTTGTGTAACGGTGCTCTGGTACACCGTCATTTGTTGTAGCGATATTCGGTCAAGGTGCTAGTCGACCTTCAGTCCTCACTCTCTTCCTCCTCGTACTGAAACGTCGACTAACCACCCCCCATCCCCGCAGAAACCTCAACCTCTACCTCCAACACCACGATCCCCTCGACCGTGAAGAACCCCACCACCCCGAACTAGCCAACAAGATCCTCGACTTGCTCTCCCTCCTCCCAAACGTCCAGAAGCTCAACCTGGACCTCAGAGATCTCCAACAACCACAGGTCGCCCACCTCATCACCCTCCTGGGTATCAACCCAACCCCCATCCTCCCCCAGGCTCGCCAAGTGAGGTTCACCACTGGGGAACACGACCACAACGCCGCGCAACAACGCCGTAGCTTCGACCCCATCACCTGCGGCCGAGTCATCGCAGCCGTCTGCCGCTCCCTCGGGCCTCACGTAACGGACTTTGAATTCATCCGTGGCACAGAGCAAGAAAACAATGAAGCGTTGCTTGAAGTTGCGGAGGCATTCACCAACGGCGAAAGAAAAATGAAGAAATTGCTCGTTGCGTCCACCGATTCGATGCATGGGTTTGATATGTTTGGCGCGAGGGAGATTTTGGAGCAAATCGTTGCTCCGCACAGAGACAGCATTGAGGAGATTTTTATCGGGGATGATGCTGAATGGGAGCCTGAAGGGGGGAGGGAGGAGTGGAGGGAGCACTACGGGGCTGTTAACCATATTGTTGGCGCGTTGGAGCAAATGCCAAATCTGAAAAGGGTGGCGTTTCCGGTGGTGGATTTTCGGTGTGAGGGGGTGAGGGATATGGCTGGGGATGAGAATTTTGCAAGGGAGGAGGTGGAGAAGGAGATGAGGAGGGTTGTTGGGGCGGTGATGGATAGGTTGCCCAACTTGGATCATGTGGCGTTTTGGTCGCAGTATCAGGAGATGGGGGTTGAGGCTTGGAGGGAGGGGGATGGGGAGGCGGGGTTGGGGTGGAGTTTTCATGAGGTGAGGGATGATTGGATTCGGCCGAGGAGTGGAAGGGGGGCGTGGCCGATGGGGATTTGGGGGCGTTGGTGGTGAGGATTGGTGAGGATTGGTGAGGGTGGTGAGGGTGGTTTGGTGATTGCTTGGTTGTTGACTCTGGTTGGCTATCACTAAGGTTGGTGGGCAGACTGGACAGGTGGTAGTTTGGTGGCATTGGTGAGGGTTTCTCTAGGAAGTAGTAGGGTGTAGGTTACCTTTTCGAAGATAGCGGGTATTCAATATAATGTTTTAGCACTGGCGGACATCTTGTGCGATATGGTGCGGTGAAGCAAGGAATCAGATGGCATGGCGAATTGTGTTTGAGATCAAAAAGGTTGGCCAGCTTTGCGAAGCTGAAGAGTATCTTTTTCTCTGCAGGGCATGCCAAAGTAGATGTTAATGTAGAAAAAAAATTGCTGTGCAGATGCTGGTACTTGTCCATCGTGCCCTTCAGCACTACTGATACACCCAATCTTCCTTCCTAGGCTTCCTCGCCCGGTACCAGGCACCAAGCTGATATCCCGGGTACAACATCGCGTTCCACCTCTTGCCCGTCTTCTCATCAAGCTTGACATACCACGACTCCGCCGCGGTCTTGTTACCTCCACCGCCCCAGATCGTCTTGTTGTTCAACTCGTCCTGCACATTGCTCACCCACTGCCTCTCCGCCTCGGGTGTTACTTCCACTTCTCTCACTTGACTCCCTTTGGAGAGAATAGGCTTGATAACGTTCATCGCGAGCGTGATGGCGTTCTCGATGGCGATGATAACAGAGGTGTGTCCCGTGACAGAGTTTGGTCCTTTTCATCGCATGTCAGCAAGACATCCCCCCAAACCCAACAGAGACAAGAAAACTCACCAGCCAACATAAAGAAATTCGGAAACCCCCCCACCGCCACCGTTTCATAAGCACCCACCCCCTTCACCCCTTCCTTCCCATCCAGACTATCCCCATCACTCACATCCTCCCCCCAATGGCCCCCCAACCTCTCCCCCCCCCTCCCAACCACCTCAACCCCCTCCAAAAACCTATTCGTCTCAAACCCCGTCGCCAGCACAATCACATCTCCCTCCACCACCCTCCCCCCTTCCGTCTTCACACCCTCAGGTACCACCTCCACAACCCGCTTCCCCAACCAACTCAACCCGTTCATCATGCAACGCCCTCAAATACCCCCGGGTCATACACCCGTCTCTTGTATCCAAACTCAACCCCCTCCGGCACCACCAAATCGCTATACCTCTCCGGCACCGTCTCCCTCATATACCTTTTCACGTCCTCCGTTTTTTTCCGTCTGATCCACCTCCCAACCTTGTTCTCCCTCATCGCGATGAAATCCATCTCCCCAATCAAGATACACAACAATCTCTGAAGCCCGCGCGGCAGCCGTTCCAGAAGCGCCAAAGGAAAAAGCTCTGCCAAGGAGGGAATGACATAATGCCTCGAGTGGACAAACTGCGTTATCTTATCAACATTATAGTCACGTCCGGAAGAGCAAACCTCAGCGTTGTTGCTCCTCCCAAGCAACGCCGGTACAATCTGCGAAGCGGAACACCCGTTCCCAAACAACATCACCTTTTTGTTGTCGAGGTCAACACTGTGGTCCCACCTAGCAGAATGCATCACCGTCCCAGAAAACGACCCGGCACCCGGGAGGGAGAAAAAAGAGGATGTTTTCGGATGGAACAGAATCCCAGTTCCGGAAAAAAGAAACTGGCATTCGTGGTGGGAGATGGCGTTGTGGGAGAGGACCGTCAGTCGCCATCGGGAGATGGGGCTGGGAAGCCATTCGCATTTTTGGACCGACGAGCAAAATGTTATTCTGCCTGGGAGGAGGGAGTATTTTTCCGCGATGGAGACGAGGTAAGACTTGATTTGGGGGGCGGTGGGGAGGGAGGTGGAGGTCCATTGGGGGCAGGGGGCGAAAGGAGAAGGTGTAGAGGGAGGAGGGGATGTCGCAGGCGGCTCCTGGGGTGGTGTTAACACAAGTCAAAGGGGAGAAGAAGGAAGGAAGATAGATATACCGGGATATTGGTTCAGATGCCAGGTGCCGCCCAGCTCAGCTTCTCGTTCAAAGATGCGGATGTCGGTGATGTTGTGTTTGAGCTTCAGGGTGGCGCCGAGGCCGATGCCTGAGAAGCCTGCGCCGATGCAGGCGAACTGGGTGTAGGTTGCTGTTGTTGGTGGGTCGTTGCTGTCCGTCATGTTGGATGATGATGCTGCTGTAACCTGTCGCTAGAAGCGCAAAGAAAAGGTGAAAGGCATCGAGACGTCTGAGACATTATATCCTCCACGGCGCCAGACATTTCTGTACCACAAACAACAACAGCACCAAGGCCCAACAGTCACACTCGTATGCCCGTCCGTCCCTCGTCCGATATCACGCAGTTCGTGTGCCCTGCCGTTCACCCAACCATGGTCCATGGTCCTCCAAAACTCCACAATATCGACCCGTCGTGCCACCACCAAAAAGCCACCAAGTTGTAATTCGCGGCACGGTAGTGGATTTGACCGCTCGGGTATATTCGGTTATGGCTGCCATGCCGCCTCTTTCCATCTGAACCGTGGTCATGATGCCCATTCACAAAACGAGTGGCCCAATGAGGAAAATGCTGACGAGCAAGACCACGACCTAGCGTAGCAGTCGCCAAGCTCGCTGTGCATCTACGCTTCCAACAGCAAGGCGTCCACGTCTTCAGCCGTCCACTTGCGACCAGGGGGCCACCCAATGACACGGGAGCGGGATCGATCAGGAACGATGCCCGTATGCACGTCGTGTAACGGTTGGGGACATGATTTGACGATTTCCCAATGGGGGCCGTGCTCGCAGCCAAAAGATTTCGATGCCGCGACCAGGCATCGGCAGTGCAGACAAGCCAGTTGGCACAAAATGAGGTATTTCGAGCAATGCCGCAATAGGGTATAACGGTGCTGATCACGGAAGGAAGCCTGCGCTGGGTTAGCAGTTGTTTGGCGATAGCGAGCACTCGCCTGTTTTGGACGTGAGTGGTGTGGTGTGTATGATCAGAGTAGTAGCCAACGCACTGTCAGCTCCAGTGTTCCAAGAATGACCCGAAGAGTCTTAGCTCAATCCTTGTGTCTGTTATGTCGTATTCGTAGCGAGTATGTTTTTTATCGCAGATCCAACCCTCGAATATGCTGCCTTGCCCGTCCATGTGTGTACAACCAACATTCCCTTCTCACCCAGAATCCCCCGTCGGAATAGGTAACCACTCGACATCCCACTTGGTGTCCCACAGTTCCCCAATCCATCTCACCTTCACCACCTTGGAGCCGCTCTGGTAAAAGCACGTAGCGATGGTCCCCTCCTCATCCTGTTCCCGTGGCAGCAACCACTCTTCCCCATCATCCCCATCAGCGCCGCTTGCCAAGGTGAGACAGGCAATATCAGTAAAGAGATCCGGTGGCGCCAACTTGTTGACTTCCGCTGTGTCGACCGTGTTCCAATTACTGTATCCAGTATTGGTCGACATAAACAGGAGCTCAAACTGCCGGTTTCGGTTGATGTAAGCGACCCCGACATCCACGCTGTTTGGGGGCAGATTAGCATCAACCAGTGCCGTTGGCTCCGGGGTTGCCACCGTCCCAGACCATGCCACCACTTGTAGATTAATAGTGGTCTCAGTGGGATTCAGTAGAGCGGAGGTGCCCCTCTGGGTGCTTGTCGAAATCTTTTCTGGCGGCCGCTTCGCAACGGCAAAGGCCGAGATGGAGGATTTCCCTTGTTGATCATCGGTCGGGAGCATCGTGTCGGGAACTGTCGTGGTTCGGTTGTCCTTTAGCTTTGGAAGAGACGGCGAAAGGAAGGTAACGAAAAGCCTTACGCTGAGGTAAATAAAATGCTGGCGATCTCGCAGTGCCCCAACTTCGGTGCATGAACTGGAGACGGTCGTCCGAATCGTGGTAGAATATGCCGTACCCGTTTCGTGGTTCCTTGTCATAATTGGGGTCCGATGACTTCTTGAAGTCGGCGCTGAGAGGAACGACTGAGACCTTGGTAGTTAATTTCGCCTCCATAGACAAGCTGCGAAAGTCCCAATCCGGCCCTGGTGCAAAGCTGTCATCCATCTGATTGCGCGCTTCTACCACCTTCACAACCGGGTTATCGAGAACAGACTCGCCAGATGTAGTAGATCCTCTAGATCCGTGAATAATCCAGGGCCAGTAAGCTGTCACGGTGGATGTACCATATAAGCGGACGTCCATTGGGTCCTGTTTGTTGACGATCAGTGCGTGTTCCCCTATGCGGGTTGTATTGCTGAGATTGCCGCCTCGGTCCAGTTCGTAACCAAACAGTACTGAACCTTTGCTTGGCAAATTGGGATCAGTATCGTCTTCAAATCCTCCATCGAATATCTTGCTGATTAGCAAAAGGATCCTAGGCTATGGAAGGTGGTCAGTATAAGTGCAGGCATGTTTATATCGGTAAACAGGGAAGCTTGACAAACATTGTCCTCAGGACCTTGGAGAATCGTAGTTGCAGCCATCCCTATAGCCCTCGAAGTTAGGTACGAGGCCGGCTCCTTTATTGTAAACTTGTTGGTGGCCTTCAGCATGCCTCCTCGCTTCGTATCCCATCGGAGCATCTGCGGTTCACCACCCTGGTCTTCGTAGAACAACCAACCCTCAGTGCTTCCATCTCGCCTTCTTCTCGCTGTCACAGCTAGGGAGCTGCGATCCATAATAGCTTGGTACCCAAGAGCCGTCTTGTCCGCGCTGCTTGGACTTGCAGGGTCCGTTGTTGTGGCTGCCTTCTCTCCCATGGACCCTCGTTGACTGGCGGCCCTGCTACCCAACACCCCGCCCAGAACAGTACCGACGCAAATTACGACCAGGACAACGCTTCCAACGATGATCAGTCTCCTCCGTCTCCGTCGTGAGGAGTGCCTAGCTTGATTGGCCGCCTCAACCTGTCGCGGATCCGCCACCTCGGGAAAGTCGGTGCTTGCGGGCTCAGGAGAGGAATCTCCGGTCCCCAGGCCGCTCTCAATCTTGAATTTTGCATCGCGAGTCGAAACCGTTGGCGAGACTGGGTATTTTGCGGTCTCTGGTGGGCGAGCTTGTGCCAAATGATCCTTGCTCTCGAGAAGCTCTTGCGGGACGACCTCAAGACCAGGCTGCTCTGTCAACAGCCTGTTCTTCTTGACGCTCCACGAGTCATTGTCGGCTTCCACTTCGGTATCGGCCATGGCGATGTCTGAGTCGATGTTGATGAACCATTACTGGAAGAAGAATTTAGAAGAGGAAGGATTCGGCATCCATCAACAAGGTTAGGAGAACGAACAGGGCAGACGGCGGCCAGACCCGAGCGATGTCACGCTATGTCCAGGGGGAAGGCGCTGGCACTTGGTGACCCAATCACCGGGGGCATCAAAGCCCACTCGTGGGCCTTTCTAGTGCTCTTGGCAGTGTTGAAGAGCAGGGGTAACTATCACTAGATCGGAATCAAGACATCCCCGATCTCCAAACTCCGTTGGGTCGCCTGTCTTGACGCGAGGAGGAAATTTCCTACACACAGCCTGGAGGTAGTTGGATGTGGGCCATCTGGAAAAAGAAGTGTCAGCGGCATCATTGGTCCCCAAGGTGAGGGCACTCACGATATCACGTCCCATCATCATTCAACAACCAGCTCCTCCACCCGCCTCATAACCTCCGCCTTAGCCCGCACGTCACTTACATGTTCTTTCATAGCTTCCAACTCCATGATACCAAAAAAGAAAGAAGTTCCAATAAGTCTCACCCCATTTGCCTCCCCAGACCCGGTCCTCCTACAAACAAACGGCATCCTGACCCGATCCAACACCCAAACAGCATCATCAACCTCCGCGTTCCCCGGTACAACAACAACAGACCCACTATCAGTAATCGCAAGCCTCTTCCCATCGCAAACCGACAAGATCGCATCCATCTCATGCCGAGCCCTCGCCCCACTACGAGATGCCGTCTCCCCAATCACCTGCCTTAACGGCTTCCTCGGACACGTCCCCTTTTCCATTTGCTCGTTATACCGCTCAATAAGCCCAACACCTCGCGGGACAGAATTTGGATACCCCAACTTCAAAGCAATCATTATCTCCATGAGTCTCTCTAATTTGGGCACGACTGATCCCTGTCGTCGCGCCTCTTCAACAAGTTCCTTCCAGTTTGAAACAGGAAAGAAATCATCAGCAACTGAGCAAACAGGGCCAGTCTTGATGATATTCCCAACATTGATGGCGTGCACACGTATCGGACACCTGTCCGTGGAGGAATCCGTATATCCAACCACGGCTGGTCGCGTTCCATTCTTGTCCAAAATGATTCCCGGGACCCCATCAAACATCAATTCAACTGGGTGTCCTCGAAATCCGGGAAATCCCTTAAATATCCGCTCATATTTTGCATGACGCCAGCCATTCTCCCGCTGAATCCTCCAATCTGGTACCCACGAAGACAGACCTCGTGCCTCATGGCCCGGTACGTGATGGCGAAGAACGTCGTCAAGCGGAACTTGTTGGTTGAGCAACGCAACGGCCATGTCAGTGAACACCCGATCAACAGACAATGAATAGTCCACACTGATCCCCAGAACCTCTCCCCACGACTCCTCCGTCCTTGAGCCATCTCGGATATTCACGAGCGGGATGATGGCATACAACTTATCCCGCGGATCCGTCGCCTCACAATGCCGTGATCTTCCAAGCATCCGCACCAGCCTCCTGGCGTACGTCATAGCGCCATCCCGGTATGGCTTGTTGTACCGGCTCGCAAACGTGACGGGGTATGGCAACTCAAGCCGGGCTGCCCGTGTCGCATTCTCGTTGTGTTGGTAAAGAACAGTGAAGCTTCCCCAGTCAACCTCATCCTTCCCGCATACAACAACTGCCTTTTGTGCAAGACTAATCTCCTGGATAACCCAAATGCGATGGAACCACGGCCTTCTGAAAAATCCTTCAACCGCCTCTTTGCTAGGTGGCAAAGCACCGCTCCCGTTGCCGAAATCGGATGGTTGGTCGAGTTCTCGAATCCATGAAAGTACCGCGACACTATTCTCATCGCTCTCGCCAAGGTAAACAACAACCCTGGAAGCTGCTCGGTAGATATCCGCCATGAGATTGACCTGGTGGTTTCGCTCTGGGATATGTGACTGGTTGATGCAGACCGAATCGACCCAAAGAACTCGGTTGGCATCGGGTTTTCGAAGACGCTTTAGGGCCGCATGGCAGTTGGCCGTGCTGCGGAATTCGACACCCGGCTTGTGCTCATCCTCGCCCTTGTCAGAGAGTGCCTCGATCACAGATGTCAAAGTTGGATCTCCCCATGTGTAAGACAGGGCCTCGTAGGAAGGAGCGGCACTGAGTTGAGCACTGAAGAGGCGGATTCTGACAGGCTCGTCGAGATGGCCTGGTAGGAGTTGCAAAAGACGAAAAGAGTCATCCAGATCGAGGGGCCGTCCCCTATAGATAGCATGAGCTTCGCTCTCCATTGTGGTCGTTTCTGAGGGTTCCGATGGTGGCAGAGGAAAGTCGGTGTTGTTCGCGTCAAACGGTTGGATGGCGGGCAGGCGGCAGAGCAGGTGCCTTTCAATCTCTGCTTATTAATCAGCCTTCTTGCGCCTTGCTCTCCTCTTCGCTGCTCGGTGAGCTCTTTGACATGGCATTTATACAGCATAATCTTGTGTTTCGTACTTCATCTTGACCCAGGCCTTTTTACCCATAGCTCCGACAATGAAACCTTAGCGCACCTCACCCTGGTGTCCCAAAGAAAGTTCAGACGAGATATTTCATATTTCATTATCCATATTCACACCCTCGTATCTCATCAGCATTATTACATCCAACGCTAAACAGTATCCAAACACACACAACCACCGACCGGCAAGCAAACAACCACCTCTGGCCAAGTCCTCTCCCTAATGTCAACCCCCATACAAAACAATCCTGACCTGACGCAAGAGAAATCAAAATCCCTCCGTACATACCTTCACAACCCAACATCAACGTCCATGTCCGCAGCCTACTAAGCCACACCCACATTCCCCAACGTCGTGCTCGACTGCGTCTGCAACGTGAGCACCAGCTCCGTCAACCTGTCAATCTTGGCTGTCAAATCCGCAATCCTCGCCTCCACATCCCCCTCATGCTGCCCAAACGCCCTCCCCTCCACCGCCTCGTCCGCCGCCTGCTGCTGCGCCCTCCGACCGGCAATTGCGCCCTCGGAAATGGCCGTAATCGCTGGCGGTCTCAACTGCGACAGATGATTATTGTTATCAGCCCGCAAGCTGTTATTCGACAGCCTAGCCTGCGCAAACCTCTTCGCAGCAGCCGGATGAGGGCTCCCAATCACGGCCTGTCTGGGACCGCGGAAACCGCTGTATTGCGTCCCCTTTGACGAGCCGATTGTAAGCCACTCGTAGAATTCAATGACGGCAACGATGGGGAGGTGAGTTGCCTTGAGCAAGAGAATGCGCGCGGCACGGAACTTGTTGTCGGATGGGAGGAAGAGGCGAAGGGGGCGGAAGATGAGGACGGCGAGGAGGTTGAACGGAGGATAAAAGTGGGTGAGCCGATTGCTAGTCGAAGCTTCGAGGACGTAGACGCTGTAGACGTAGAGGTATTCCTCTCGGGCATGGGTGATGACGCGGGAGAAGCTGTTGGAGAGCATACCCGTCAGGGAGCCGGTGAGCAGGATGGAACTAAGGGTGATGAAGATGATCATGAGGGGAGGGCCGAGCAGGGTGTCCATTTTGGGGATCAGGTCGAAGCCGACGAAGCTGGAACCAAAGAAGATCTTGGTCAGGGACATGACCATGTCGTGGAGCGACAGGTGTTCGCGCCCGAGAAGGGAGAAGGTGGTTAGGAAGCCACAGTAGATGACTACGACGAGGACCATGAATTTGATGAAATCTTTGCCCATTTCTTTGAGGCAAGGAATCAAGGTCTGGTGTGGCTGTCAGCGCTTTCTCTTTCAATCAGCTGTTCGGCTCAGGATATCGACTTACACCCCAGTATGGACTCAAGCTCAGGATAGAAAAGACCCTTGGAACCATAAAGAGAGCTTCCAGCGCCAAGACGTTGAAGGAAAGGTTCACCATTTCCTCGTTGTGAGTTTCCAAGCCAACAATACGCAAGCCGACAAAGGTGGCGCCGATTGCTATCATGGCCATGTCAAACACGTTCCATATGTCGGTAGCATAGAAAATGGAGCCGGCATCAATCCACTCGCTCAGCTCGTCCAAAGCAAAGGCGGCAAACCAGATGTACAAGAAGATTTCCAGGGGCGTGATGCGGGTGGGATCCCGCTCGACCAAAACGCCATAGTACAGGCCCAAAAAGGTGAGGAAAAATAAAACTTCGAAAGATTTGAGATACTTGGGGACTCTGAGACGAGAGAATGGGTCGGCCGTGTTGGGGTTGTAGAACTGAGGTTTCTTCTCCGAGTGCACGCTGAGGTCTTTCCAGAAGATGATGGAGCCTTCCCAGATGCCGGTGATGATCTTCTGGACAACAGCCTGGCTGAGGAATCGCTTGGCGTCGGCAATAGCGGCAATCTCCAAGGCATTGAGGTTGGTGAAGTTGGCGGTTGGATCCTCCTCCTCTCCCTCGCCATCTTCATCGTCTCCCGTCATGCTCATAGTCAGGCGCGAGATGGAACTGAGCAAGAGGTTGCGCTTGGTGCTTGCGCTATGGGGTGTCCTACGGGATGAGCCGACACTGCTGTGTAAGGCCTGGGCCAGAAGCGCACTGTGCTCGTCAACCTCGCCCTCCTCTTCATCAGTTGGGCTGTGGCTCTCGACATCCTTGGGGTCTGGGATCTCATAGAGACAATAATCGACAGCCTCCCTCTCGGACAGGTGGGTCAGAAAGCGCCAAGCGACAATCTCGCAGGCGTTGGCTCTGGCGTCCATCAAGCCCTTATCCTCGACGCTGGTGCCATAGTGCCACTTCAGGGCGAGGAGGGCATTCACAATGGCGGGGTGAGTGCATGTTCGGCCGAGATGGTCAACGAGCGCACGAAGGCCATCTCCGGCAGCAGTGGTCCTCAGCTGCTCGAAAGTGCTGGGCAAAACCACGGTGTCGGCAATATAGCTGACAAGATGATCAGTAAAAGACCAATTGTGGAGATGCCGTAGAAAATACTCACACGGAAAGCTTCTTGACAACATCTCGGAAGCTGTCCTCCTCGCTGATGTCGGGGAGCTCCGCGACGAAGCCGAACTTGTGGCGCGGGGAAGGGGTGCGCAGGCTCTCGGTGCGCTGCACACCCTGCGGGCGCGACTTGACACGGATAGGCATTGGATGGTGAGATGGCAGCAAGCAGCAAAGAAGCGCTCGTAGCACAGCAGAAGCAACCGACAACCCGGAAAGGGAGGGGAAAGGGAAAGAATGAAAAGATATGCTCTCAGTTCGTGATCAGGCGCAATGGAGATGGCGGGCAGTTCTAGGCCATATTCGGTTGGGTTGCTTATTTTCCAGGGTCCTCGTCCTCGGCGGCTCAGCCCGACACAGACCACCCCTAAAAATTGCTTGTTTCAAGCATGACTGAGCCGCCCTCAATTGTCCCTCAGCGCGTCCCTTTCGCCACGTCCCATGACCTGCTAAGCCCATTGGAGGGACAAAACAAAGCCCATCATTGGGACTCTTTTTCTGTTGGAGAATTGGGGTTGGTTCCAACATTTGCGGGGCAATTCTCACCTGAGACATCACCAGCCCCTCAACCCCTCAGCCCCTCACCTAAGCTCGACCCCTCACATGTGTGTTCCTCAGCTTCACATTACCTACGGCCGGGAGACTGAGCGGTGCGCATGTAACTATACTTGAGATCACCTCGCATAACTATTTACCCCTTTTCACACTGTTCCATTCCTCCCAACTTCATTGTTTACCTTGTTCCAATACGGGCTAACCGGAGCCCGCTGCCCCGCCCTCATGAGGCGGCTAATATTTCATTGGTGAGCTTTCTCATATCGACGGCCTCACACCTCGGAGGGGACCAGAGCGAACTTCTTGGTCTTGAACATCATCGGCGAACATGAGAGGTCTGGAGAAGTATTTAATGGGGGCGGATGGCGGGTTGATGGCTATCTGTCGGAAGTCATCTTGACAAGAACACGACGAGGAACCGATCACCACCAAGATGAAGGGACTTTTCGCCTTCGGCCTCGGCCTTCTTTCTCTAGTCAACGCCCTCCCCCAAGCACAAGGTGGAGGAGCAGCCGCCTCAGCCAAAGTCAGCGGCACCCGCTTCGTGATCGACGGCAAAACCGGCTACTTTGCAGGAACAAACTCCTACTGGATTGGCTTCCTGACCAACAACAGAGATGTCGACACAACCTGTTCGTCCCTTCCACCATCCTCTCCTCTACCGTTACTAACACTCCCCAGTGGACCACATCGCCTCCTCGGGCCTCAAAATCCTCCGCGTCTGGGGCTTCAACGACGTGAACAACCAACCATCCGGTAACACCGTCTGGTTCCAACGCCTCGCCTCCTCAGGCTCCCAAATCAACACCGGCCCCAACGGCCTCCAACGCCTCGACTACCTCGTCAGATCAGCCGAAACCCGCGGCATCAAGCTCATCATCGCGCTGGTCAACTACTGGGATGACTTTGGCGGCATGAAAGCCTACGTCAACGCCTTTGGAGGCACAAAAGAATCCTGGTACACCAACGCCCGCGCTCAGGAGCAGTACAAGCGTTACATCCAGGCTGTCGTCTCGCGATATGTCAACAGCCCCGCAATCTTTGCGTGGGAACTTGCCAACGAGCCCAGGTGCAAGGGGTGCAACACGAATGTTATTTTCAACTGGGCGACGCAGATTTCAGATTATATCCGGAGCTTGGATAAGGATCATTTGATCACCCTTGGGGATGAGGGGTTTGGGTTGCCGGGGCAGACGACGTATCCGTATCAGTATGGGGAGGGGACCGACTTCGTCAAGAATCTGCAGATTAAGAATCTGGACTTTGGGACGTTTCATATGTATCCTGGTCATTGGGGGGTGCCGACGAGTTTTGGTCCAGGGTGGATTAAGGATCATGCGGCGGCTTGCAGGGCGGCGGGGAAGCCGTGTTTGTTGGAGGAGTATGGGTATGAGAGTGATAGGTGTAATGTGCAGAAGGGCTGGCAGCAGGCGTCGAGGGAGCTGAGCAGGGATGGGATGAGTGGTGATTTGTTTTGGTAGGTGGTTTCTTTTTTCCTGGTTGAGAAGTGATGATATATGTGCTAATTGTGATCAATAATAGGCAATGGGGCGATCAGTTGAGTACTGGGCAGACACATAATGATGGGTTCACGATTTATTATGGTTCTTCGTTGGCTACTTGCTTGGTTACTGACCATGTGAGGGCTATCAATGCTCTCCCGGCGTAGAGTACAAGGGATTTGTACAAGGGTCGAGGGTTGATTTGGTGGATGTTATCAACACGCATTCTTTCGGCATTATCTGAGTTTGTTTAGGTTTGGCAATGTCAATATGAACGATGTCCCGTCGATTCCAGTTCCTCATGTTGTCGGCCCCAGCCCTGGTGCATCATCAGTCCAAGAATATCATGTCCTTTGTCGCAGTTTTTGCATTCAAGAAGCCAAACCTTGAACCGCTCACGATGGCCACGTTCCAATGACTTGATCAAGAATCTGTGCAAATAGCCGTTATTTTTTTTATTCTTTTATTTTATATTTTCTTTTTTTATTTTACTTTTTTATTTTATTAATTTCTTTTGTTTATTTTTTTATCTTTGCCCTTGCATACTATCCGCTGAATCAAAGCTCTTTTTGGTATGCCCAACCTCATGAATCAGAATCATATGCCCCCAAACCATCATGTAGACGTCCCCTTTCAGCCGGGAGTACTGGCCCACGTGCATCTCCCACTCAGTGAAAAGCACTTTCTTCGTATTTCCAGGCTCTAAGGCTCCGAGACTCACGATGCCATCGGTGCTTCCTCCAGCCCATGGCACAGACATCTCCTCTCTCAGCCCTGTGATACCTGGTCCCAACGCAACACCCGGATCTACCACCGATACCCCCACAGCCCCATGGGCCACTTCTCCCTCCGTCCATGCAGAGGCTTCACCCAATCATCAGGGACACCGTAGCATCTGATATAAATATCCCCATCGATACGTCTCGAATAGACACCGCAATTCTGCCACAAAGTCCAGAAGGCCGCGTGCTCCAAATGAGGAAGCTGCTCCATCACACACCACCCGCAATCGCCCTCATGGCCGTACCCAGAGCCAGCTTCTCGAGATTCTTGTCGTCCTGGCGCTCAACACCCTCAACACGAAATCCCACCACTGGGAACGCGACTCGGCAAAGGGCAGGCATCCCAGCCAGGGCGTTGACCAAGTGGTCAATTGCCTTCTGGTTGGTATTGAAGTCCTGATGGCCACCGGAAGGTGCAAAGTCCACGTCATCAGCGATAAAGATGGTCTCAATAGTCTCGCTGTGTGGCGCGACGACCGTCTCCAGAATCTCACGAGCTGGGAGGATATTGAGACCGGTTGCGGACCCCAAACCGGCGATCAATAGGCGTCTCAGCTGGCGGCGGGGACTGCCGCCTGGTTGGATGTCGGCAAAGGCTGTCATCGTGTCGAGCAAGACTTGATTGTTGGCAGCATCGCAGCCTCGAATGAAGGTAAGCTCGTCGGCTTTGGTACCCATCGCGGTGCAGAAAGCGGACGTGAGGCGCCCACAAAGGCTCGGGCTGAACGCGCTGTCGCTCACTCCATAAGCGTCCTCAGCCGAGATGAATTTGACTTGTCGAACACGGGGAAGGATGTTGGTGGATTTATGAAGCAGCGTGACCATATGGCCAACTTGAGCATTGTCCAAATCGCGCAAGTCCAAGCTCAGACTGCGAACTTGAGGGAGGGCGGTGATGAGCCGAATGATCTTGTCGCATAGACTGACTGGCTTTGACGGGTCCAACTCCCAGTAGGCAACCTTTGCGATCTCGGGGTGTTGAACGCAGACGTCGAGGGATCTGAAGGGCGAGAATATCGGTTAGCAGGCCGACATCTTTCACGAAAACCATCAAGAGGTGCAAATGGATAACGACTAACCGGACATCATGAGCCAGGGCGCGGTAGGGAAAGTTGCCATTGTTCCCCTGCTCCGTTTCCCGTCTGATCAGATCGAGGAAGCGGCTGACCCCATGATCGGTACTGGTGCATAAAATGTGTATATAAAATGGGCTCTGCCGGGAAGCTAGTGGAGATCTGTGTCGAAGAGGAGAATGAATAGGTAAGTGATCAAGTTGGCAAGAGAAGTATGGTAAAGGCAGTGTGCGGATGGCATGTTTGGTGAAAAGTGGTAAGGTGCATGGCAGAGATCGCAGGCAAAAGCTTTATGCCCCCCCTTCCCGTCAGGTTGCTCCGTCCAATTCACTGGCGGTCGCGGCTTCATTGCTCCGATATATTCACTTGTGAGGATGGGTCTGACGGTTTCGTCGCTCCCAGCTCTTCGTGGCGGTGACGACGCTCAGGGGAGCAAGTGAAGCAAATTGTTTTGACGGCTATGGGTTCCTGACCTGGGCCTACGGCTGGACACAGGTGTAGGCCTGAATAGTAAATTGAATTGTTAGATAAAGATGGAAGAAAGAAGAAATGAATTCTACAGCCTAGAGATTCTTTTATCCTTCACAATCGGTGGGACCTCCCAACAAACCTTACGGAGTTCCGTATTCCTATCACGCCTCTCAAGCCTCCAACAGAGGGGCGTAGTCTTCTGACTCGCAACCCTAATCCGGATATCATCCGGGAATAGGTCCGACGTCAGGTTGTTGTTCGCTCCAAACTGTCTCTTGCATGCTGTCAGAAAGCATCGTAACAGGACGACATGGGCAAGATCCGGACTACCAAGGGTATAAGGTTGATCGCCAGGATGGCGCATGCGACGTTTGCACTGCTTGATAGACTGTGGTTGGTAAGGTCGCTGCGTTGGCGCAGGGCCAAACACCCCCTTCTAGTGCATACCACGGGGCTGTTTGGGTGCCTGGAGTCGCACTTTCACCCAGGCTTTTCACACCTCTGCCCCGGCTGTTTGGTGCCCAACCTGCCTTTTGGACCAGAGTGACCGCCTTTTCCCGATTCACTGCTCTTGAAAAAAGCTTATCCATGACGATAAAATGAAAAAGACACCCCATCAGGTTTATCTAGGCCTCCCGCTGGATTTCGATGATTCAATTCGCCTCTTGAATCTGCTTCCAGGTCTTCCAGAGGAGCCAGTCAGAATACGCCTGTTAAATTCTCGAATCGAACTCCTCCTTCCCACGAAGCGCTCTCCTACACCTGGGGGGGGATCAAACATTGGCCTCTACGATTGAGGTGCTCTCTGACGAAGACGAGTCAAGCGCCAAACCAGTCACCGAAATATGCATCACGGCCAACTGTCATGCAGCTCTCAAGCGCCTCCGGAGCCGTGAAGCTGACCGGATTGCGTGGGTCGACTCGATCTGTATCAACCAGTCGGTTGTGTCTGAGCGAAATCATCAGGTCAATCTCATGAGATGTATTTACCAGACAGCTTCCAGAGTCATCGTTTATCTCGACGAGAGCTGTGAGAACAGCCGCGAAGTGAGACCGCCATCCTCTCACTTGCAAATGCCGAGCACGATAATGCTGTTCAGCAATACCCGAAAAGCATGAAATAATATTCGGAAGCCGAACGCATTCCAGAAGCAGAGGCTTGGACCATGTTACCAGAGATCAAGGTGGACCATTCTCGCTCAGCCCCCGAGATCTTCACCGACATCGCCGATGATTTCTTCCCACTCTCTGAATGGGACAAACTCTGTGGTCTTGGGCGCTACTACCGATATCATACATGCTCAAAGTTCCATAACTGGAGGGATTTCCTTGCAACTCAAATCAACCCTTGGCTTCGGATGAATAGCGAAGGCGGCATCAGCGACAGGTGGATACCGCATCGATCCGGTCAAGCACAAGTATGATCTTCTTCGACGCTGGTACAGAACGCTGGCCAAAGGTGACGGCTATGGAAGTGAGCCTTTGTAATCCCTACTTTCCTCGGCCACTTTTTGATCACCCGATCATCTACAGCTCGATATAATCTTCTCCAAGTGTGACGGCAGCAAACTTGCTGTCACCGACACCGGTCTCGTCGGACTCGTACCAGCGAATGCGGAGAATAGGTGATACCCTGTGGGTGTTGGAAGAGCTAGACATGCCATTTGTTTGCAGAAAGAAGGCTTCCGAGGAGCGGAATGTCGTGACGCTTGTAACAGCCTCCTTGTTCATCACTGGGGCGCCGGGACCGATGTTGGCCATGTAGCTGTTGAAGGAAGTTAGTCACCTCGGTACTGGGTGATCGGGTATAAAGAGGTACGAACTCTTTGAAGGGACCTTCAGTCACGCATCCACCTCCACCGCAACCTCCCAATACCCTTCCTACTGGAAGATCGATGACCTGGTACTAAAGGTATACGACTGGGACAACGGGGGTTCGAAGGGCACGTTTGGGTTCACGTCTTACTCCTTGGCGACGAACAGAACGGTGGAGTATCTGGCGCAGGACGTTGACCTAGCAAAGCTGCAGTGGTCCCAGTGCAGCGACCCTGGGGTTGAGTTTCAATTTGACTTCGATGATATGAGCTTGAGTTTGAGGGAAACGTGGACGTGTTCGGGGTCTCCAGAGTGAGCATTTTCTAGTACACTTGGGCTTTGCTGCCGTGGGCAGGAGAAAGAAAAAGTTGGGCTAACCTCTTCCTAAGAATTATGTTCAATGCCAATGCGACGGGACTCATGATGTTGCACGGCTGTCTGGACAGTGACACGGAGAAAGGGGTTGAGTCGGATTGCCATGTGATGGAGTTTGGCATGGCGGCTGATGTAACATCATCAGGGATGGCATAGGTGCTTTGAATTTTCTGGCGCCGGCAGAAGAGCATTCGAACACACACATATGGGGTAAAGATGGCTGTTTGGGTGAAAAAAAATAAAAAAAATCCAACTCGTGAGGTTATTCCCATCGCTCGTCTTCAATTGGCTAATTGAATGCGGTTATATCTATGAACCTCCAGGACGTGGGAGTCGACTGGAGTAGAATGAGCTACCCATCTGTCGGCCTGTGACGAGACAAGCTACCAAAGCTTGATATGTTGTAGGTTCTGTTGAAGAAAAAAATGTTTTGTCATTCAAAGATTTGTTGAAGTTATTCCCAGAACTATCGATGTCGCTAACGGGCCACTGCGCCGTCGTAAATGCGCGGGCCTTGTGTAAAATCCCACACGGGTACCTGAATGAGGCGGAGCATGGGTTAGTACCAGAGGGTTGGCAGCTGGTTCTAGACCCAGGCTGGAAATAAGCGCTTTGTTTTCCCCTTTTGCCAATCCACAGCTGGAAGTCCTGGGATCATTAGGTAAGAGGGGATAAGGGGCCGCCAAGGATCACACATACGGAGCATCATAACACGTCAGCCTCGGGCTCTTAAAATGCCGTCTTCTCCCATCAGAAAGAACATGGTCAGTGTCCTCGGGGCCTCCTGACTGTCTCCCGCCTCAGCTGTCAAGATGCGACTCTCCCCGTCACATAACAGCTCGTACCCTCTCATCGTCATTCTCAGCGCTTCAATTCTCCCAGTATGGTCCCAGTCGACAGTGAGGATATTACCCCTAGGCGACTCCATCACCGGCGGCCCCGAAAGCTGCTGGCAAGCCCTCCTCTGGCGCCGCCTCCAGCAAGCCTCCATCACCAACACCAAGTTCGTCGGCTCCCGGTCTGGTCAACAGTGCGATTTCGAATATGACGGGGCAAACGAAGGGCACGTTATGATACAGGCCACGGGAATCGTCTCGGAAGGGAAACTTGTTCCGTGGCTGGAGAGTTCCAAGCCTGATGTGGTGATGATGCACTTGGGAACTAACGACGTGTTGAACAACAAGCCGACGGCGGAGATCTTGCAGTCGTTTGGGACGATGGTCGATTGGATGAGGGAGAGTAAGAAGGTCATGAGGATTATCGTTGCTCAGATCATTCCGTTGGACTCGGTGTTTTGTGAAGAGTGTGGGGAGAGAGTGGTCAGGTTGAATGAAGCGATTCCAGAGTGGGCTAAGGGGATGAATACAACGGAGAGTGTGATCGAGGTGGTGGATTGTTGGACGGGGTTCGACACGGATAGTATGACCAGCGATGGGGTGCATCCTAACAATGCCGGGAATGAGAAGGTGGCCGAGTGCTGGTTTAAGCCGCTGAGTAGGGCGATCGAGTCGGTGGGTGGGGGAGAGGAGGTTTCAGCGGCAGCATCACCTGGAATGGGTGCAGGGAGCAAGCTGGGCATCGCGGCGGTGGCAGTGACGGTTTTGTGCAGGTGGTGGTGGTAGGGGAGCAACAGAGACAAGACGGCGAAATATATACCACCTTTTGGCTCATCACACCAGCAAAGTAGCTAACACTGCAGCTTGTGTATAACCCAGTGGTCAAAGAGACGCGAGCAACCCGACCTGGCCAGTCAAGAGTTGTGTGCGTAGACCGGCCTGACCCTTCGCTTGGTGGTGGGTTGGACTCCCCCATCCAGTTCTTTTTCTGGAATTTATTTTGGAGTTTATTGACGGCCCACAAGAAATTATACGTAACTATGATTGTGATTAACGTGTTTGAGTATCTAACATACCTAGGCACCGAGACTAAACATTTCTCGAAGAAAACAATAAACATTAGACATGAATGTAACAATGAACCTTCGGTCCTTTAAACAGCTCGGAACCCATCACCTGCTGACCCCAGACTCACGTCAGGTTGCTGAGGAGACGAAGGTGATTGAGGATGAACACCAGCCAGCGTCACCGGCTCTAGGGGTGGAAGGGCTTTGGCTAGGCAGCTGCCTGGCCACTGTGCTTCTCTTGATCATGACTGCCAACGGAGCAACTAAACTAGGATTTTGGGAGATTCAAGCTGGAGCAACCTGAGCGATCCTAGTGCCGGGTTTTGTGACCGGGCGGAGAACCACAGTTTGCTACATGGTTGCTTGGATTATGGAACCCTAAGCCTGTTATACTTAGAAGAAGAAACACCGCATGATTTATCTATTGAGCTTCTATATAGTGCATCAAGGCCCTCGGGGCTATTTGTGTTCGCGTTGGGATTCTCAATGGCGCAGGGCAGACATTCTTATCTGTTGCCCCAGGCTCTGGTAAGATGCCAGCCTGTGAGTAGTGAAGATGATGTCAACCTGTGAGCAAGGGAGCAAGGCAGCAGTTTGTTGAACCGGATGACATCATTAAGAGATAGTGAATCCGATGTTTGTCTCAAGTTAGAAGAGTCATCGGTCACGCGGATATCACAGTGCCTTTGTTTACTTCCCATGAAATAACTCTCGCCTGGGTAACTGGCTCAGGCATCCGAGTCCTCTTTGCAATCAAAGATACCATTGGCCGAGTTCAAGCTCCGGAAGCTTCCTCGAGCCACCAATCGCATTGATCATGTCCCGCTAGCTTGCTCTTTTTGCAACTTCTTGATCTGATTTTGAGCTGAGACTCGCAGCCTGGGAGTAACCTCAGGCTGCTCCGGCGCCGCCCCACTTCTCAACCACCACCCTACTCACGCCTGTTCACTCGACCATCACAATAGCAACGACAATAGCAATTCACAGAGCAATTCACACAGAAGCATTGGTAATTTGCACACTTTGCGAGATTTGCAGGCGTGCACAGACCACCACCCGCAGAGTATAAAGACTTCCAGATCCCCAACCACTCTCTTCCTTCCTCTCTTGCTTTTCCTTTGTTGGCTTAAACTAGACTTTTTTTCTCAGGTCGCTTCTTTTGTTTCGCCACACCACCGCCAGTAGGACCTTTTCCTTTCGCCTGGCCGCCTGCAAACGCCTCTCCTCTCCCCCGTGAACTACTCTCCTTTCCCCTGTAAACGCCTCACCTTGCGTTCACAATGCCCGAGCAGTCCGCTTTCAAGCGGAAGAGAGTCGAGGAAAATTTGGTAAGTCACTCACCTGCTGGCCCTGCATCCTGTCATATCTGTTTTCCTTGCTGGGTTCGATCTGGGGGTTGGCTCTGGGGGCGCTAGTGGGTATCCGGGGGAGTGTTCACCTCAGAGGGTTTGACGGAGCAGTAATCTGCCAACATTGCCAGTCACCGCTGCCCTTCTTTGATCAGAGATGCGACTAGTCGTTTGACGCAAGAATACCAAGTCTTGCTCGAAGACTCAACCGGGAAATTTTGTTGTCTGGCTTGAAACATTTCGAGAGTCGCGCTCTGGATCAGAGAAGGGTCCGAGTTGCAATGTCCGCTTGCCATGACTGCCACTTTGGGAACCACTCCAGTGACAATTTTGGGACCAGTCGGTTGGCACAGTGTTTGCTCCTCACATCTTTCTTTGACATCAAGCTTTGTTCCCATGCCGTGGAAAGCCTCTGGGGCGGCTGCCTGACAACCTTGTTGGTCACTGGGTTGGAGTCTATAGTCCTCTGCTGCCCTTTGGGCCTCAGAGCGGGACTGACTTGTGGGGCTCAGTGCAGAAGACGTTCGAGTGGCACACAGTTCAGTCTGGTACCCGGGTGGTTTTGTTTGCGAATGTTCGGAGTCTTCTGGGGCTTGGTGTGGCATGGAGAACTGACATGACCCGATGTTCGTCGTGTGACTTACTCAGTTCTTTTGTCTATTCATTTTGCTGATGGGTGTTTAGGAGTCTGCTTCAATTTTTACCAATTCGCCCACCTTTGGCCCTCCCCATCACTTGCCGTTTCGTCCCGCTCCATCTTCGCCGATCTCCGAGTTCGCTTCGTCTGCACCTTCTCAGTGCCGCCATCCCCCCGCGGTATGTTCTTGTCTCTTTCTTCCACCGCTCCTCCGGCTCCAGTGTCTGCAACCAGTTCTGTCTTCGCCCCACGCAGCAGTGCGCCCGCTGCTTTCAGTCTTGCCGTCGGTGGCGTCGCTACCAACCCGCCCACCAATTCCGTTGTTCGGATGGTCAAGGATATGACAGCGAATAAGGCGAGGGTGCCCAAGCCACTAGCCGACGCGATAGTCAAGGTGGTTAAGGAGGCTGTGGATCCCTCGCAACTGGCGCAAGCTATTGCGATGACCGAAGACTCAGCTATGAAGGAACTCCTCATTGTTAGTGCAGCCAATCTGACCAGCAAGGTTCTGGATGGCATGACAATCAACAATAACGACCGCAATCAAGAGATCTGGGACATCCAACCCAGCCTCAAGCTTGCGGAGGAGGAGCTTTTTCAAGGGACGGGCTCAAAGCTGAACGAGGCGCTGCTGCAAAACCGTGAGGACATCAACTAGAATTAGAACAATATTGCCAATCTTAAGAACCGAATGAACAAGATAGAGAAGATTAAGCATCTGCAGAACGAGATTGACTCACTTCGGGAGTGGTTGAATGAGGTTGGACTGGGCCATGCTGAGGCCAAGCAGGAGCTTGAGGAGACTCAGTCCAAGTTGGAGAGAACGCGGGCGAAGCTGGTGAAGAGTCGTCGTGAGCTTGCTCAAGTCAAGGGGGCTTTCAGGACGATGCATGCTGCTTTGGAGAAACAGGGGATCAAGATTGATGTTTGTCTGGGAGATGACGAGGGAGATGAGTCGGAAGATTCGGACGAGGATGAGGAGGACTATGGGGACGAGGAAGAAGAGGAGGATGGCGAATAGCAGTGAGAGGAGATGTAAGAGGTAGACACTGTGTGGTATAGAGTATTGTTTGTTAGAGTTATTAGGCATCGGCATTATTTGACAGTTGAAGGGTCATAGCATGGCGTTGGAGAATTGATTGCGATACAGAACTTACTATTCTGGCTTTATCTTCTCTGCCGGCTTTGCTTCGACTCCGTTGACTAATGATACTTCGCATATTCTACTACTCAAAGCCTCTGAAAGCTTTCTCTGTTCCCAATATGTCAACACCAAGCTCCCTTGAGCACAATCTTTCATTCCTTCCCCCACTTGTAAAGTCCAGAATTGTGATAATTCAGCATCCCAGAACCAGAGAAAGCGTGGCCGTCCCAGTTCCCACCTACAAATCCCCCCCAGTGCTCATCAACCACCCCCTCGCCTCGTCAATACCCAAAAAGCTACTCAGCACCATTTTGCTGAATACATCCACATCCTCCGCTCTTGCCTTTCCTAAAGCAGCGTTAAAACTATCCCCATTCATCATCAGCCTTCATTCATCTTTTGTTCTCAGGAGAAAGAACTTACTTGGCATTCTTCACCGCCCACCTCCTCCCTTCCCCCCACGCAATCCCAAAACTCAACGGATCCCTCGCCTTCCACACCCCCTCGCCTAACGTAAAAGAGCTATTCATCCCCAGCCTCCCATCGCATTTCGTCGGTACCTCACCCTTCATCAGTCGATAAATCTGGACGAAAAAGAAGACGATCAAGAAAGTCCTACGAGCTGATTCTTGAAACACCCAAACCTCCCAGAACTTGCGGGTTGTGTCTAGTGGGTAGAGTGGGAGGATTTCATCAGATTTTGCGGGGGGTTGTTGAGACGTGGGGGGTTGAAGTGGGTGATCGGAGGGGCTGTCAAAAGTTCCTTCTTCAAAGGTGATGTGAGACATGAGGGCAAATGCTGCTTCTTCTAGGGGGGCGATGGTGTCATTTATGGCGGAGAAGGACTTGTAGGAGTTGTCAAGGACGCGCAGGATTTGGTAGAGGAGGAGGGACTGGACTCGGGAGAGGAGTTCTCGGGGGGATGAGAGGGGGAGTGGAGTGGAGAGGAGGGTGGTGATGCGGGATTCGATGTTGCGGGTTATGATGTCGGTGTTGATTGGGTTTTTGGAGAGGTGGAGGGCACAGGAGGAGTAGGCGTCTGTGAAAAGGTTAGGGTCTGAGATGGCAGAAATGGGAGAAAGAGGTACCTTGCATTGACTGCGGCATACTGTGTTCATAAAGACACGGGTGAGACCATGGTGTTTGATTCTCACATACCATCCGTCGGGGGGCATCGCGGATTTTATCGAGGGCGAAGTTGAGTCTGTTCTTGAAAGCCCAGGCTACGGCTGCGGTTTGAGGGAGGGCTGCCGGAGGACCAGGAATAACTAAGTCATATATTATTCTGTTGGTACCCATGTCATCCGGTACCCCAGCTGCCATTTCTCGCGGAATTTGTGCCGAGTCATTAGCGGCAACACCAAGATCCCCAAGGGTGGGATCAACAGTGTTAAAGTTAAAAAGGTCCAAAGCGTCTGCACCATCCAAGAGTATGGAATGTGCGTTGACCGGCTCCTGTGACTCTGGATATGCTGAGGGGTTCTCCCAGACCGCGAAGTCCCATGATGATCCAGGAGTTGGAAGCGCGGATGGTGGTCCAGTCAACGAGTGGGATGGGTTATTACTGGGTGTGCTTGCTGGCAAGGGTCGTTTTGAGACTCGCCCTTCCGGGTATTGGCAGGCTAAGCTCCTCTGGGTGCACCGCTGGCATGCTGGTGTTTCTTGTGTACATCGTCGTTTGGCCTTGATGCAGGCTGAACAGGATTTCCGCCGCGGAGGTGGGTTGTTGCGTTCAACGGCCGAGATTGACAGTGACATGTTATTCTGTACAGTGCCTCAACAGTTCAGTATTGTGACTCGCTAAGATGGAGACTGGCGAATGTCAACCACAGGCGCCTGCAAAGCGGTCGGCGGAGACAACGACAGAACTGATGGCGTGTTTGTTAATGTCTAAGAATGCAGGTTGTCAGCATAGCTGGCGGATTTCCGCCCACTTGGGGACTTGTGGCCGGCCAATGGGATGTCGTCGGCTCACAGTGCTAGTACAGTGCACTTAGACATGATGCTGCTAGCACCAAAAGAGACATTACAAAGAACAAGGTCGAGCTGCGGTATTGTGGAAGTCGAATTATTGCAGGAACGTATCTTTCGTCACTCAACTGCGGTGTCATGCGGCTTTTTCAGTAGTTGCCGACATGTCCGAGCTTCCTCGCTTCAACCGTCCCACAAGCACAAGGTCAATTCGAGGGCGGAATGCCGCGAAGGAGTCAATCTCAACACCTTATAAATTGACCGTCCCATCCACAATAATCCCCAGCTGACTCTATATCTCCCATTAAATGATATCCCTCTCTAGAATCATTCACATTCTCAGGCGACAACCTCACTCAAACTCAACATGATCACCCAATCTCCAACAATCTTCCTCACCTCTGCCACCGGTAGCCAAGGCCTCAACCTCGCCCGCCTCCTCCGCTCCCAATCTCCCCCCTGGTCAGTCCACGCCACAGTCCGGTCCCTCACCTCACCCGCTGCCCAGGAACTCTCCTCCCTAGGTGTATCCCTCGCCCTCGGTTCCTGGGATGATCTCCCGGCCCTTGAACAAGCCCTCAGGGGTTGCACCGCACTCTTCCTCAACCTCATCATTGACTTCACCGACTTCTCCCATGAACTCACTCAAGCGAAGAACATCCTGTCTCTTGCCAAAGCCGCTGGTGTAAAGCAAGTCGTCTACTCCAGTGCAGCGGCTCTATCCTCCCTTGAGGAACACTTCGACGTGGAGAAAGACGGAAGCCCACTTATGGTCGCCAGTCTGAAGTCGAAGCAGGCTATTGAGAAGGAAATTAGGAACGGTGGCTGGGACAGCTGGACTATCCTTCGTGGCGCGAATTTCATGGAGAATCTGCTTGATCCCAAAGTTGCGATGTATCCAGGGCTGAAAGAAACGGGGGTGTTCAAGGTCGCGTTCAAATCACAGCAAAAGCTCCCATTTGTGGATACGGCCGATATCGCCAAGTTTGCGTTGGAGGCTTTTAAGAATCCGGAGGGGGGGCTAAAGGGGAAGGAGGTGAATATCGTTGGGGATGAGATAACACCCGAGGAGTTGATGAGGTCGTTGAGCAAGGCAACGGGACGGGAAATGAGATTTCAGGAGCTAACGGATGAGGAGGTTCAGAGAGAGAAGGAAAGAAATCCGTTTATTACTGCTGGGTTGGCGATTAGGGTGATGGGGAAGTTTATGAAAAAAGAGGAGACGGAAAGGTGGGGCTTGGAGTTGACAGGGTGTGAGGAGTTTGTGAAGAGGAATGAGGAGGCAGTTAGGAAGACATATTTGTAGAGTTGGTGAGAGTTTTTCGTGGTTTTTGGAGTTTTGGATAAAGTGTCTGGGATGTTGTTAGGTTGTGCTTAGATTTGGGTTACCTAAGATATGCAGATGCCAGCATTGTTAGTTGCTAGTGTTTCATGTTCATTGCTGTTTTCCAGGCCTCCCTTTTAAGTGCTGACAAGGCCGTGATGGCCTAGGTTGAACTAGTCCTATATTAGTATGGCGTTAAGGTTAGACTTGGTTTGATAGAGTTGTTTCTCTGGTAGGTATGTGGACAGGTGTGGAAGACCTACCCGGCACCTAATGCCTAACTACCACATAGTAACATTATTAACTAGTTAATATAAAAACAAAATCTTATATACTCGATGAAGTTAGGAACTATTTAATATTTCGGTAAACCGAGATAGGGAAATAATATTTAAAAGGAAACGGCGTTGCTTTTAGAGAAGGCGCTAGTACAAGTACAAGATCAGCTTTGGCGACGTTAGTTACGACTTTGAGGGGTGTCATTTAGGGAGACCGCGGGTGACTACGTAGAAGGTAAGCGTATAAATGAATTATCTCTGGGTCGGGCTGTGGTGTATATGGGATTTACTATAGCGTGTCCGGGGGGGCTCTTGCAGTTCTGTTATACCCTTACAATGTATTTTGCACCTTCAATCTTACACTCCGGAGCTAAAGCGTCGAGCAACAACATCCTTTGACGTCCTCACTAACCTCTTCAAATGGCGGAGAACCGTCTCGTAGTCATCGCTATGCCGCTCAAACTTTACCAAGTCCGAGTGGGCACGGTTGATGGGGATGATGTAGGTGTCATCCACCTCCCAGGGGCGGCTATGAGTCGCTGAATCCCTGTCCACTAAAACCACGGGGTCGCCATTCATTGTTAATTTTCCATTTTCCAAGAGATGTGTTTTGATTGATTAGTCCGGGGAAGAGGAAGTAGAGAAACGAGAAAGCGTTGTTCGGGAGGCTGCTATTTTTACCCACCATTTTGGCCGTGCCTAAGACCCGTGTCTCAAAGAAGGAGAAGATAACCGAGTCGTGGAAGCTGAAAATGGACGGGAAGTCTTGCGGCTACTGCTTGAGGATCGGGGAGTTAATGCTGAGTGACCGAAGAAGCTCTTGGCTTGGCTGCGAGCCGATGATGGCAAGCAGGGCGGAACTGTCCATGCCACGATTAGGCACTCCGAAGAACAGGGCGCCGGTAGTGGCTTTAAGATTCGCAAGATCGTCCTTATCGCCTTTACTTAGCAATATCAAGAGTTAGTTGGGCGGCAGTCCATTATTTAGCTATCGAAAGACCCTGGTGCTCACTAATTAATTTAGAAATTGGAGACATATCACCCACCTCCTTAACTAGAATTCCCCCAAGAATATATCCAATAAATATAATTAGGCGTTTGCATACATTACCCTATATATATAGGTATATATATCTCTTATCGCCTGTAATAGGATATACCGACGATTCTAAAGACAAAGACCAGAACGATAACTCACCCGCCCACAAGAACCTACAGTTATCTCGAGAGCCGCTACTACCATCGACCACTGGATTAGCCAGTACAGGAGCCACAGAGAGAGCTATGGAGAAAGCCATAGAGAGAGCCACAGACAGAGATATGTATCCGCGGCAGAAAAAGCACTATACTAGGCATAGAAATACTGCTGGAAGAAGCAGGTCGGAGACTAACCTACTAGGTTAGCAAACGAGGGACCGCCAGAAACACTTTTCACAAATAAGACCCTAAAAAAACACAAGGATTTAACTAAAGCAGAGAGCTCTCTACTATTTAAGCTCGTACAAGAGCGACAGGTCTACGGGACTTCCTATTCAAACAGTAAGTCCTAGGCTTAGCTACCTCCCACTGTACCTATAGAGAGGGCCGTAAAACAATCGAGCACCTTGTTATATAGTGCCCAGTACCACCGAAGCCTAGATCCTAGCCGAAAAACAACATCCGCATATACCGGGATCTTAGCACCGTACTTCGGGGTATAAAACACCGGAACTAATAGCTATTAGGAAAGGTTTTAGATTAGCTAATAGGCTTAGGCCGCCTAGTAAAATATAGACTAACGTCGAAGCTAAGTTACGGAGACGTAGGGGCCGGAAAGAAAGAGGAAAAGGTAAAAAAGGCGGCTAAAGTCGAGGACAATTAGTCCTTAAAGCTTTATATAAAGCTTTTCCCTTAATTCGTAATTATTATATTATTTCCCTTAGATTAGTTTCCTATTTACTACCGATATAAGTTTTTCACCCGGCCACGAGGCACGGTTTTCCTATATAAATAGTATTAAAAAAACCGGCATACCCTTTTATAAAGTATAGCGGCGTAAGAATAATATTAAAATATAGTACTTAATTATGGATTTTATAGTGCTTTCTTACTTATAGTTTCCAGCACTTGCAGCACTTAACGGCTTAAAACCATAACGGTTATAGCGGACCACAATAACCGTAATAGTGGGACATAACGGTTATAGTAGGCCACAGCGCCCGTAATAGCCCGGAACTCCGGGAGTTATAGTGGACCGTAATACACTTTCGTTACGCTAACGGAACCCTATATTATTCGGTACTCTCTAACGTAATTAAGTTCGAAACGGTACCGGAACTCCGTAATATTCGGCGCTCTTTAATATAATTAAACTACTATTTCTAATGGATTACCGGGGACTCCGACGAGCTAATTAATAATACGAACCACTATAGTATTACTAAATCGAAGAGATTCGAAAAGAAAAATAAGGAGCGGTATAGAAACTAAATATCTATAAAAGGCTCCTTTTTTAATATATTTTAAATACTTTTTTTTTTAAATTAAATAGATTATTAAATTAATATACTAGTTTTCCATACTTTCTTTTAAAGTATAATATTATAAAATCGGTATGCGGGATCTATACTAAGGTCTATTAGCTTTATTAAATACTCTCCCGTTATATACACCGTTAAATAGAATTAAGCTTTTACACTACCTTACTATTACAACCTACACCGGGAATAAATACAGACTGCAAAGCAGTACGCTAGAGGTAAATATAATAAGATAATTAAAGGTTATAATAAACGTTTTAAATAAGGGGTTTACTATCAATAACAGGTCGTTCTATAAAGAACTATTTAAGAGTAGATTATAAATAAATAAACTTAATTACTTACGTAAGGAATTAAATTCCTCGATATAAAAAACGCTAGGCGCTCCCTCCTATTTATATATAGCTATCTACATATATTTCTAAAGTATCTTTATACCTTACTTAATATACTTAATGGTCTTAGCGGCTAAGCAAACTAAACAATCTTTCATAATCGATGTGCTTAATATACTCAGTGGTCTTAGCTACTAATTAAACTAAGCACCTCCTGATTAGTTACATAGGGACTTTATAGGTTTTCCTATCCCTAGCCCAATAATTAGCTAAAGTATTCCAGCACCTCGGGAACCACCCAGTGGTTCCTTCACGGGGTTATTATACTTAGGGCGTAACACTTATTTACTTACAATATATACTAAGTATTTACTACATCCGTCTCCTTTAAAGCGTTTTTTCGTTCTTTTCTTAACTTAACTACCTTAAATAGGCTCGTCACCTCGTCTTTAAACTTACAGAGGAAATACTATTAGCTTTTCTCTCTTCCCTACCGTAGGGCAAATAATTGCGGCGCTATTCAACGATGCAATTTATTAGTAGTTAGGGGCAGGAATAAATATTGCTGAAATAACAACCTACCTCCCGATAACAAGCATCACGCTACCGTATTTTACGAACCAATATACCGATAACAGCTTGGCTTTTGCGGCCGGTTGGAATTACTAGTACGCTTATGCGATTCTGGTGGCTGCGGAAGCCTCGGCAGGGGCTATTTTGCTAGATTATTGGAAGACGGGGGTACATACAGCTATTTGGATCACCATTATCTTAGTCCTAAAAGCGAATCCGGATATAGCTACGAACTACCTAGAAGCCTTCACTTATGCCGTATTAACGACGGTTAGTAAGGGGCTAAAGCGTGCGGATAGCATATATAGGAGTTAGAAAAAAAACCCTATTATAGTTAACCTAAAGTAGTTCCATCGTATCTTAAAAAAAAGGGAAGCCCGAGCGCTAATTAAGTCACGATTGCGCGGCTTTAGGAGGGGGTAGTCTAAAGTAATCCTAAAGTTTTAGGAAGGAGTTAAGAAGAGTAATATCCATCGGTATCCTTTCGAAGGCTCATAACTTTAAAAAGCTTATATCTTTTCCATAAATTATTACCTAGCTAAGGAAAAAAATAAGAGCTAGACCTCGGCCCTAAATTCTCCCTATAATATTAAGTTTACCGGTAATTAAGTTCGTAGTAAAAGTTAGTTAAATTAGATAATATTAGGAGCCTATTAGACTCGGAAAGTCTGGGCGACTTTAAGTAAAAGTATAAAAGTAATGTTTAGCTTCTTTAAACCGGCCTTCTCCTCTTATAATATATAACGAACCTCTATCCAGAACCTTTAAAAGGAATACTAGTCGAAGGCACTTCTGAATAATTTTAGTTCGGTACAGCTAAACAGTGTATAATAAGTGGCTTGTCTCAATTACAATAGTCTAGATACTAATAACTGTGACTTAAATTACATACTGCGGAACTATCTATCTAACCCGGCCAGTCCCTCCGCGTATATAGACCTAGGGCTCCAAGTACCTCCGTACCTAGATCTATCTCTTATTTCCTAAATCCTCTGGATCTAGCTTCCAAACTCTAGATCCATGGATCTACCTTCCAAATCCTAGATCTCCTGGCCCGTGCTATTTCCTGCCCCGCAGGCCCCACTTAACCGCCCGCTCCAGTCCCACTGGTCCTGGCGTCCCCGCTTCTTCTGAACCGTGACACCTTACTATACTATTTAAAAATATAAAATAGAGGGTAATTAAACGGATAGTCGAGAGGTGGAAACGGGCATATGAGAATAAAAGTGACCTTAAACTGGAAAACTTAACCAGGAAGTCAAAGTGCAGGGTTTACAAAAGAGCAGGAGGGAGGAATAGGGACTGTCAGCGAAAACTCCAATTGAGATTGATATTTGAAAGCTTTGACAGACAAGGCTGGTCCTCAAAATAAGTATAGATCGGAGCTTATATCTTAGTGGCCAAGCTCCTAGACCACTGTAGCAAATGAGCTCAACATCACCAAGCTCCTCGGAGCTACGCTTCCGCTTCCGTAGCCGCCCCAAACGCTCCTCCTGATATTACTTCGCATAAACGAACTCGTCATTATAACAGTCATCGTTCTCCAGAGTATTTCTTCCAAAGCAGCCGCTATCACGTGGACTGGGGCTTTCCATTGCTAGTATTTCATTAGCGGCATCGTCGGACCTCGGTGCGCTTCTCTTCCTAGGAGAGCGCGACCTAGCATTCTTCCACATCTGCCTGCACATCTCAGGACTAACCTCTTCGGTCTCCCATTTACCCTTCTCGCGACTCCAGAGAAGCAGGCGCCTCTGTACAAACGTCGAGGGGAGGAATATATCGAAAACACAGTGGCTTAAAATGATCCAGGCAAAACGGGCAAAAAGACACTCTACTGCCACAGTCGTGGGGATGGGGTGAACGGCGCGGTTATGCCAGAGGTTGGGGAGCTGTCCACTTGGCGTCGAGTTGAAGACGTGTAGAACGAGCTGCGGTGGCGTTTTTCAGTCCTGATGCTGTTGTCAGCAGAACTGGCGGGTTTCCGCCGCTGAGGAACTTGTGACTGGCCAATGGAATGTCATCTACTCACAGTGTAGGCACAGTGCTACCTCATATCGGTCCGGCATTGACTGCCTGTTGGTGTTGCAAAAACACTGGAAACGTCAAATTGAACGAAGCAAGACACTCTCTGGGTGTGAAGGTACCATCTCATGCCGCCATCATGCCATCCAGGGCGGCAAGCCGGAAAGATAAGAACATGACAAGAAAGAGTATAAGTTGACCTTCCCCGCCCACCATGACTGCCATGACAGCCAACTAACCACCATCTCACTGCCAGATGATCCCCCTCTCTCGTCTAAGCCACACTCTCACCTAACCCCCCAAAATCAACATGACCACCACCAACCCCCAAAACCCAACCATATTCCTCACCTCTGCCACCGGATCCCAGGGCCTGAACCTCGCTCGCCTCCTCCGCTCCCAATCCCCCCTTTGGCCCCGTCCACGCCACAGTCCGCTCTCTCACCTCCCCCGCAACAACCACCCTCTCCTTCCTCGGCGTCACCCTCACCCAGGGGTCATGGGACAACCTCCCCTCCCTCGCCAAATCCGCCGGCATCAAACAAATCGTCTACTCCAGCGCCGCCGCTCTGTCCTCATTGAAAGAGCACTTCAACGTCGACAGAGACAGCAGCCCTGTCATAGTCGCCAGCCTCAAGTCTAAGCAAGCCATCGAGAATGAAATCAAGCTTGGGGACTGGGACAGCTGGACGATCCTGCGAGGCGCGAACTTCATGGAGAATTTCCTTGAGCCAAAGGTGGGGATGTACCCCGGGCTGAAGGAAACCCGGTGTCTGGAGGATGCCTTTCAAAAAGGGAGTGAAACTGCCTTTTGTTGCTACTGTGGATATTGCCAAGTTTGCCGTGGAGGCGTTTAAAGATTCGGTGGGGAGGTTGAAGGGGATGGAGGTAAATATTGTTGGGGAGGAGTTAACGCCGGAAAAGGTGATGGAGATACTGGGGAGGGTGACGGGGAGGGAGATAAGGTTTGAGGAGGTGAGTGACGAGAAGGTTGAGAGGGAGAAGGGCGAGAATCCGTTTGTTACGACTGGGTTGGCGGTGAGGGTGATGGGAAGGTTTATGAAGAGGGAGGAGACGGAGGAGTGGGGGGTGAAGTTGACCGGGTTGGAGGAGTTTCTGAGGGGGAGTGAGGAGGGGGTAAGCGAGACGTATCTGAAGGGAAGGGGTTAAGGCGGCTTTTGTGGAAGTTGCCTATGTACTGGTAATGCCTGCCTAACAATGCACATTTGTAGGCCCTAATCTCTGCACCAACCCCCCCTTGTGCAAAAGACAGCAGTTCAACCAGATTTGACGCCACCATGTCAGAAAAGAACTCGCTATCCATCCCGACCCTTTAATCCCTCTTTGAACTCGCCCAGGATCTATCCGGGCTTATCTCCGGCGCGGCGGCCCAGGGGGGAAACAATGACATATGGCGCATCGACATGATGACATCACCACACCAACCCACCCAGCTCGACCCCTATTATGTCACCACTTTTGGACCCTAAACAACAGGTAGCAACAACGGCCAGCACATACCTATATAACATTCTTTCGTCCCCTTCACAGCATTGATTTTTTTCCCTCCAATGTTCAATCATATTTGCATCTCAACACAATATCACTTGAACCCCGCAATCAAACCACCACCAAAAATGAACCCCTCCGGTCTCGGCTCCTCAGGCAAAGTCCCCCAAAACTCCCACACAGGCGCCAAAGCCACCGGCGGAAAGGTCGGCTCCGTCACCACAGGCGCAACAGCAGGGTTGGGTGAGGACAAGCCCAAGGTTTTTGATTCCGAGGGCGCAATTGGGAAGCAGTTTACCGGTCAGTGCTTCACTGCAAGATAGATAGAAAGGGGAGAACTGACTGGTGATGAATTGAGCAGAGGACGGCGTTATCGGGAGCATTGGTCAAAACATTGGTGGACCGCTGCATAGCGAGGGGATGATTGGGAAGCAGTTTACTGATAAGGGGGCTATTGGGGGTACCGTGCAGGATGTTCTTGGGGGGACGAAGAAGAGGTCGAATTAGATTGGTTGTTGTGGGTCGGGGGGAGGGAAGATAGGAGATTGATGTGGGATTTGTTGTTGTGGGTTTGGTGGTAGATGTATGATATTTAGGGAGTCAATTGAATAGTTATTTTTGCGTGGTCGATTTTGCGTGGGGAATTGAAAAAGTATTGGCAGGTGAGGTGGACTGGTGAAGGAGATTTTAAGATATAGGAGGTAGATCCCAGCTTGAACGCATTGATGGGAAGTCTGCGTTGGATGTAACCCTTTGTTTGAACAGAAACTAAGTGTTTTCAGCTGAGACATTGCTACGCAATGAAAAGCTATCAGGTGACACTCTTGACACTCTGATCAAGATGAACTGAAGCTCACTAATTTGTATCAACGTTTTGCAGAAGCATCAATGTTAATCTTGGCCGTTTTAGCGTGGCGCGTGTACAGCATCCCAGCTTTATGGTGTGGCATGTATAAACGATGGAGCCAATACTCAAGAAACGCCTGCAGACGTATAGATATTTATCCCAGCATATGTCCAGCAAGTGGTAACTGTGAGGTTTGAGATTTGATGAAGTAGCCGAAAGACACAAAAACAGATTCAAGATGAGTGCTGATATATCCGGCGCAGCTACTTCTTCGTATCCTGTACTCGGTTCTGGAGCTTTGGTGTCTATTAGATGGAGGATACATTGGAGACAAACCTACGTGCTGATGACATTTGTACGCGGACGTCGGCGGGCGAAATTGGAAATGCTCGAAGAGGTTCTGCTCACCCAGTCATCAATCACGAATCGGCATAAAGGATGAGTAAGTCGGTTTCCAAGCTGCCATGCAACTGAGTCCATTATCATTACTCTGCACCTGACAGCGCACCCTCCAAATCTGAATCTCTTCTTGGCCTTCCGGACACGGGCAACTAGGATATCTAGGCGGCGAGACCGTGGAACCACTGCCCTATCATCAGGGGCGTTGTGTGAGGCGACTGAGGTCTCTTGGAACCAGACACCCGAATCCAACACAAGTGCGGCTCCTGGGTGGCCATCACCTTCCAACTTTGAACGAGATCAGCATCGTTCTGGTCGGACGAAGCCAACAGTTCAACAATGTGATCCCAGTGAGACAAAGCAGCTTATCAGGTGTGATAGGCAACGGAAAACTTCCCCGGAACCGAGAGGTTCTTGCAGGAGGAATGGCTCGCATGACAGAGGGGAAAGGATGCGGAAGCGACTTACCAAGTCTGGGCGTTCGGAAGAACGCTTGTGCCAGTTGGGCTGGGCCATTGCGGGCGAGCAGGCGGCGCGGGATTCTTTTCTGAAAAAGAAGAAAAAATGGAACAGAAAAAAGGGCGGCAAAACGAGAAAATAGGTATTGTGACGAGAGCTGAAAAAAGAGAAGAGGGAAGAGTTGGGAATTTGGTGGGCAGAAAGTCGAGTATATATCCCCCCACGTAGATGGTCTGTGCGCGCTTGCAACTTCACATTTGCTCGAATTGACCACCTTCAGGTCATTGGACATGTTGCTATCCCAGGTTGCTCTTGGTGTGGTTGGGGCGGTGAGGATGGTCATGTTACTCCTTCAGCTGGACTGCTGAGAGTCACACGGACCCACCTTTCAAAGAGCAGCTCCGAGAAGCGTCATGACGGAAGCCCTGGATAGAGCAATGAGTGATGATATTGGTAGTGTAGGGGGGAAAGATGACTACCAATTTGAACCTTCCAATGATGGAACCTTCAGCCTGACGGCTGTTCGAAGTCTCTGTGTCTGCCAGCCAGAACGACTTCGGGGTTGTTCTTTTGATATGAAGACCTCACCCAAGAAACCAGACCCCACAATCTCTTGTCTGAGTGTCGTTTGATGCTTCTGAGCTCCAGCTAACGGGACATACCTCTGGTGCTACTCGTTGAGATTGGCTAAGCCTTTTCAGCTTCAGACATCCTTCTTTGGTCACCAAAGAAGGATAATCCTCTCATACCCAATGTAGGAAAAGGCAAAGTCGAGCACCTTATGGGCGGTGTGACCGGATCACAGGAATGCCGTTGCCTAAAGAGAATATCTACCAAAGAAGCAAACTCTACAGTAAATCTCTTGTAGAAACTGATGCAATTCGTGGTGTTTCTCCAAGATAAGGTATCCCATTACCAGGTAAAACATGTCATTGCAAATCAACCCATCCGAACTCAAAAGAAAGTGAAAAAAGAATGAGGGCAATTGAAAAGAAAGCCTCCATCCCAACTAGCACCGGCTGCAAATCAGAAATCACATTGAACACATGCCTTTAACATACCCATTGGGGTCCAAAGATTTCGTCGACTCCAAGGATCATGGATAAATATAATGTTGATAGGTTTCCGCTGTGGTTCACCAATGGCCCCCGTTAACCATCATGTTTCCTGATGGTGTGTCCAAAGAGGTCGAAATGGTGCCGGTAATGGATCAGAGAGTTGTCCGATATGTACTTGTATGTATGTTGGAGAGACGTTGAAATAAAGTTATGCCAAGTCGCTGATCGTGGTAGCATTCACGTGCAATGCCCCACAAGAAATTCACTGGGAGTTTGTCAGAATAGTCAATGAGGCCCACTGTTAAGGAATTAATATCTTGGCAGTAGGACCTGAGCCGCTGGGTTCGGCCTTTTCCAGCCAACCGGGCAACACACCCTCGTAAAAACAACAGAATTGACACCTTTTTGCACCCCATATACGATTTGGCAGTAGTCCACAATGTCATTTCTCCCCTTGTCCAACCGCACACTTTCTTTTTCCAGCCAGACCACGGTCGCTATCCAAACGACAGCAAAACACGCCCAAGCGACACGCGAGATTCATCAAAGCATCACAATGAGCAGGAAGAGAAGGGCCAGCCCCGATGCAAGTCATGGACGCATTGGTCGACCGACACCCGTTGAGTTTGACCCATGGAATCGTCCCCTTACCCCACAAGCTTCGAATGCGGCAGAGGAATGGCGGAGGATCCGCAGGCAGATCGACAATATTGAGGATGCCGATCTGGATTCTCAGCATGTCATTCGTCTTCTGACTCTTGCAGCTGAGCACAGGAGAGAGTACACCCGCTTGGCAGCTGGCTGGAAAATGCTCGATCATGTCCTGCAACCAAAGTCACGGACATATGAGCCTCTTCCGCTGGTTCAACACGATTTTCTCCCGGAACCCGACCCTTACCTAGATCATTTTGTCGACCCAAGTCGGAACCAGGCCATCAAAGACTGTGTCAGCAAATATCAACAATTAAAACAAAGCCTTGATGGCTTCGACCCCAGGTCCGGGGCACAGTGGCCCATTTACGAGTTGGTCGAGGCGGAGCGCCGGAGACGAGAGTACAACAGTGTGGTGGGTTCTCATGTTTCTGTTCCGCCGCATCAAGTGCCCGATGAAGTCTCCCCCCAGCAGCTTTCAAGCAATTCTCAAGAGCCGCAAGAGCCAACCCCAGGACCAGAGCCAGTGCTGGAGGAAAGACCTCCCCTGTGCCCGGAACAAGAAGCAGTTGTGAAACTGGCGGAGCAAGGCAGAAACATCTTCTACACCGGATCTGCTGGATGTGGCAAATCAACTGTTCTGCACGAGATTAAGCGGCGACTAAAGGCACAAGGCAAAGTGGTCAAAGTCATTGCCCCAACTGGCCTTGTCGCCTTGGCCATCAATGGCTCAACCACCTGGACCTTCATGGGCTGGGCTCCGGACTTTAACAAGATGCCATTGGACAAGCTATGCGGGGTAACAAAGGCCAATGAAAGAGTTCGAAAAGCTCTCCGTCGGGTCCACACTCTCATTATCGACGAGATCAGCATGGTGGAGAGCAACTTCTTTGAGAGAATGGATAGCGCGCTGAGATTCGTTAGGAAAAGGGACCCCGAAGAAGACCGGCACACGGGGCCAGACCCTGCATCGTTACCATTTGGGGGCATTCAACTTATCGTGACGGGGGACTTTTGCCAGCTTCCACCGATAAAGCCGTTCAAACACTGTGTTATGTGTGGCTTTGAGCTCAGCACGACCAAGACTTGCGCCAATCGAGCCTGCCGCCAGAGCCAGTTCAGAATTGAGGACCAGTTCGCATTCTCCAGCGCAGCATGGCAGAAGTGTAACTTCAACTATGTTCACCTCAAGACGATACACCGCCAACGAGACGAAGAATTCAGAGCTTTGCTGGAAAAGTGCCGAACCGGCATTGCCTTCAGCCAAGCCGACATTGAGATTCTAATGAACCATGAGTCCAGCACTGAAGACGCCGTCCGTTTGATGCCGACAAGAGAAGAGGTTTACGAGACAAATGAGAGGGCCTTTAAGAAGCTTCCAGGCCCGGAGTTCTCGTACAAATGTTCTGATGGTCGCCACATACAAGAAAACCATCGATACCTGGAGTATAAATACGCACTCGAACAAAATGGGGATGACAGGAACCACAGAGTAATCAACTTTGGAGACGACAATCACCGGTTTGAAAAGGTTCTCAAGCTCAAGAAAGACATGTCAGTTCTGTTGCTCGTCAATCTGAATCTGCGCGAGGGTCTTTGCAACGGTAGCCAGGGCATCATTGTCGACTTCGAATCTCACAGTGTTGGGTCCTTGATGAGAACGCTCGAAGGCAGACCGGGACTCACCTACACTCAGAAAGAAGCAATCGGCACTTTTGCAAGCCGTAACCTGAACTCCGAGGAGCCCCGCATGATCGCGTTGCCCGTGGTTCGCTTCCAGAACGGGATTGAGCGCACCATTCTTCCGGAATGCCTGGTCAACGAGGTGGGGGATCCTGCCCCGTACTCTTCTGTTTGGAGGGCACAGATCCCGCTCATGGCTGGGTATGCCCTTACCATTCACAAGGCGCAGGGCATGACACTTGAGCGTGTTGTTATCAATCTCGAGAACGTTTTTGAGGACAAGCAGGTGTATGTGGCCCTCTCTCGGGCCAAGACTCTTGACGGACTCAAGATCGAGGGTGACAAGGAGTCAGTTAAGGAGGTGTTGGAGAGAGCTTTGCAAGGGGATCTGCAAGTGCAGAGGTTTATGGAGGAGACACAATGGATCGAGTTTGAATGATCAGGACAGGGGCCTTTGACCAGAGAGAGGCAGTGTTGGATGGTAAGGACGGGGGCGGTGGTTTCTTTTTCTGTCATAGGGCTTTGGCTTGTCTGAGTACTTTAGCGGTTCAGTCATGCCTGATTGGCCGTGTTTCCCGCACTGCATCACAGGCATCAGTAACAATAATACTTCTGACTTTCTTATTTCTTTATACGCCAGTGAGAAGCAATACATCCGTGACTTCAGCTTTCACCCTGCCAAAGCGAAAGAGTCGACAGGGAGTATTCCAATATACATCGCTTTGAATTGCACACGTCGGGTGGGAAAAGGAAAAGGTCTAGACTTTTGGGTGATGCTGGACTCGATGAACTACCCCGACGAAAGCTTCGATCCAAGCCGAGATTTCGATTTCAGTTACACCTGCAATATGGCTCTCGCCTCAAAAGCTCCCATCAACAGTCTTTGTCTGGTTCTTCAGATCGCTCAATAGGCATTTCAAATACAAACAGGTGCAAAGAAGAAATCATTCAACCCCTTTTCCCTCTCATCCCAGCTTTTGTCTCAGCGAGCCAGTCCGACCAGCTATCTGGTTGAAAGGATAGCTCCGGATTAGATAGGAAAGAGAGCACGAGGGATACCTCGAGGAAAAGCAACAGCAAAAGAGCCCGCGACGTTTTTTTATTTTCTTGTTATTTTTTTTGATCACAAACAAGTAAGCTTTGAATTTTTTGGATACTTTGATCGGGATATTTACTGATCTGAGCGTTTACAGTCGATCAAATCAAAAATGGTCCGCGCGAAGAATGCGACCTGGCGGGCGAAGAAGCGCGCTCGTCAGCCACACTTGAATTCAAACAAGAGTTGGACGAACACAAACTGAGGCACTGGTCATACACCTATCCGGATGTCTGGTCCTCACTTGAAAGGCTTGTCTGACATGGAATCAGTCACTCAACATGAGCATTATGTACCGTCAAAGATCTATGCTGACCATACCTTGTCAATATTAGCCGGAAGTCACCGCTGCCGCTCCCACCGCCACCAACCCCCGGTCCCCGCGACGTGGATCGGGAGAACTCCCGCAGGGCCATGTGTTGGGCTGGTGACCTAGGAAAGTCACTGGCTGCGAAAATGAGGCCAAAATTGGCCAGAAAAAAAATAGTAAACAAATTGGTATTACAGTAGTTGGTTGTTGGTTAAAAAGTAAACAGTAAGAAAATCCAGCCCCAAGAGCAAACCGGTGTGGGTCTGGGAAAACCTGGGCCCTTTGATGCCCCACACCATGTCTACCTATAAAAGCATGCATCACATGTACAAGCGCTTCCGCAAGGCCAAACGTCAGGTCGACAGCGACACCAGCACCATCAACATCCAGAACCGCGCCGCCATCATGGACATGCAAAAGGAGAATGCGGCTTTGAAGAGGGAGGGCGAGAAGTTGAGGGTTGAGGGCGAGGGCTTGAAGGTTAGGATCGAGAGTTTGGAGAGTCAGGTGAAGGAGTTGAATGGGGCGATGAGTTACGTTTTGGGGGTGAAGAGTGAGGAACTTAAGGGGGATAGGCGTTGGTATCAGCCGTTGGAGGGCCAGTGGAAGAAGTGGAAGGGGATGGAGTAGGGGGCGGAGCGATGGGAGGGGTGGGAGGATACCTCGTTGTTAAGATGGGTGAATGTTGAGCCGTTGAGCCGCGAATCGTGCGGATGTCTGTGTGTAATAACTCTTGTGGCGTTGATTGGTTTCTTGTGTGATATCAAAGACACCCATGATGGAAACTCACGTCCTTATTTCAGTCCACCTCATCGTCCATACTCAAAACCACCCCCCCCCCCCCTCACTCTCAACTACAACCCTCCTGATACCCATCTCCTCCTCCTCTTCCTCCTGTTCAAAGTCCATATGCCCCACTTCAATCCCCTCCT